AAAGTAGGAAAAGTAGGTTCGTAATAGTATGTACTGCTGGCGCTTATATAGCGCGCCTAAGCGCGGTCAAGCGGAGCCGAAGCGCTACCGAGTAGGTATGTAATATATATATGAGTGAGAATGCATGATAAAAAAAAGGTGGAACTATGCTAATAAAGGAAATGGAAATATACGCACTAGGGAGCTTGGTGGACAGTGGATGGATGCTTCTGGATGGCTGGCGCCATAGGGCGCGCAAGCGCAGGAACGCGCGCGCGCGTATACATCGCGAAGCGCGGGAATGGTGCGCGCATGGCGCGCGTTGCGTGGGAAAGCTGCGCGTCATATAGAGATAGCTGTGGGTAGCGCACAGAATGACGCTGCGAGTTTGTGCTGTATACTTCCTAGTGAAACCTGCCATATCACACCATGAGACACACGAGTCTCTACACCGGGGTGGAGGTGAAAAATCCGGAGGGGGCAGTGAGAAATCTCGAGGGCGGGAGGGTGAACAAGATGGCCGGGGATGATCCTGAGGGGACGGTGCTGAAACAGGTAAAGTTGGGTGAAGCGAGCGCCTGTGTTGTGTAAGACCTGACTGGTTTCGAAACCAGCGTGAACATCCTGGAACTGGGCATGGAAGCTGAAGCAGGTGGTGAGCACGACGGGGAGGCATGTGTGCTATGCTGGATGTTGACGAAGGTTCTGAAGGCTAACCGTTAGATTCAAGGTTTGGGGTGCAACCGTCCATAATCACCGGTACCAATGTGACAAATTTGATAATGGAGGCCAGATTTGGGGCTCGGACACGAGCAAACTGTACCGAAAAGCTTTCTACACTGGAAAAGCGGTGGTATACCTCAGTCTCACTGCGCCAACAAACAAAAACTAGTACTAACGGTGCGGGGAGTGTTAGTAGACTATCTCCTCGTCGGAAAGGTGTCAAAGAACCATGACATTGATGTCTCACAGGCAAAGCGTTGGACTGATATTATCCGGAGTGCCTGAAAAATGGTAGAGACTCCCAATATTAACGGCGACTGCAAAAGATCGCGCTAGTATATTAGTGGGTACATCAGAGCAAAGTAGGGTCATATGTATGAATTCAGAGTCAGCTTAGGCTACAATTTTTGAAGAATTGTGACGAAACTTACCTTGTCGTCCGCCACCACTGGTTGGGTATTCTCGTTCTCCAGCCTCCCAAACCTTCCATCAATACCATGTCTCAGCTTGCCAGCGCGGTTCCGAGGCGTGTGGCGACTCGAGCTAAAAATGCAACTCAGCACCCAGGATATATCCTGACCGGGGGCGAAGGCCACACAAAGAGACGTACCAAAGCTCAAAAGGCCGCTGACGATCAGCGTGTAGAGGAGGAAAAGAGGGCAAGTGAAATGGCTGTTCATGAAGGACATAACCGCATTGCTGTATTTCAGAAAAAAATGGAGACAGACCAAGCAGCCGCACGTGTTGATGCACCAAAGCCTACTCGTCCCCGCCCACGCCCACGCCCCGTAAAAAAGGCTGTAAAAGTCATGGAGACCTCCAACTTGACTATGGCCGAAGATAAGGCCGTTAGCGCTAATGGCAAGGGTGGTGGGGCTAGAGGTAAATTAGCAGCCGGTGCTAACGTCGACCATCCTGGGAGTGATGCAGAGGAAGAGGTGCGAGTGCCGGGGTCATGCAAGAAGAAGGAGAAGAGGAAAGTGTTACCAGTGAAGACGCCAGTAAGAGATGCAATCGAAGCAGCGGGTCTTATCGATGAATCAACGATGGCACGTGATGACGATAAGAAGTCTGCTGATGTGTAAGACGTTTGCTTCTCAACTATGTTGCACCATCTCACTGAAACGGCTCTTTTCTTCTTCAATTTAATGGTGCATGATGATGATAGCACTACATCAGGTCCTCAAAAATTTGGTTTTGCTGTCCAGCGTATCCCGGGTTGGAGGACGGAAGTTCCCGCTGCCAGTGTTGGTTCTAAGCCATCCTCCAACGCATTGAGGAAAAGACCATCTACGATGCCTTCCGACTTCTCCAGTACTGCTCCCTCTTCCAAACTTACCATGGGGAGTACTATCAGTAGCGGTGGTGCCCCACTCACGCCCATCAATACTATCGCCGATGCTGGGGCTGACAACGTGGCAGATCGTTTTACGACCCTGTTTGCAGACGATGATCTGGCTGAATCAGTTGAGCGCTCTCAAGCCCTTGCCCGTATGTCCAAACCAATAGCTGCTCAGGTGAGTTTAATTATCTAGTTCTTTCTTATGTATACGTTAACCGCATCACCAGGGCGTCAAGATTTATTCTAAGGTCCCTGATACTTCAGTACAGTACGAACAAATCAATCCCATCGCAATGCCAATTTGACTCCTCGACAGATCAACGCAATTCAGCCTGACGTTTCCGACGATGAAATGAATGTTGAGGTGACCCCCCCAGTAGTAGCTTCCCTCGTTAACTATGGATCCGACACTGACATGGAATCTGATCTCGAGCCTCCTCCTTCTACACAGGTCCCCCGAGGATATTACGATGCTGATATCCGTCGAGCTGCAGCTCTCGCTCGAACTTCAACATCCCACTCTACCATTCTGGCGACGAGTGTCAAGCGCAAACTCGCAGATATGGAGGATGGCCTGACCGATGATGACGCGATTGAGGATGCCCTGCCTGAGGACGACTTGCTCGAGGACGACGTGATTGAGGACGACGTGATTGAGGACGACCAGATTGGGGACGACTTCATGGTCGATGATGACTTCGTCATCGAGGAAGATACACCTTCATCCGATGTTGAATTTGTGGGGCACAGCAAACCTGTGGTGGTCAAGACCGAATCTGAACCAGTGTCCTTGCGGGTCACATCTGCGGTAGTAAGCTTCGGTTATTAATATTCAAATCATACTAACTACGAATCATGTAGACTAATGTTGGCGTCAAGCACAAAGCTCCTGCGGCTAAGCGGACAAAGTCTTCCGTCACACATACTCGCAGTCTTTCCAGTATCTCGAGTGCTACTTCTGGCGCCGTGTCGAACTCTGTCGAGGTGGAGATTCTCCCCCGTTCTGCTTACAGGATCAAGAACCTTCCTGGAGGTGCTCGGGCAGTGGCTAGATGGAGTGCAGTATTCATCCCCACTCTCATTTTTGCGATCGGAGATCAAGATGAGGTCTGGGCTTGGGCTCTTCCCAAGTTGGAGGCAGTTCTCTGCACTACTGTGCAGGACACCTGGGACGCAGTGTACAAGGACATACCGCACAAGGTGACTACTGATGGGCCTGTCATGGCATTAGTAAGTGATCTTTGATGCAATTCGTATCTGATCGTTCTTGTTTCTTCTTAGGCCACCCAGCGGCTATCAGAATGGCGCAATGGCATGGGCACTACCGCTGTCACCGCACTCACACACTTCATGTCATTACAGGATGATGTCCAGACCGACCAAGACCGCGAAGATTTCGCAAACAACTTACTTTTCAAACTAGGGTTCTTATATGGTAGCATCACGGAGGACGGACAATTCAAGAAACCCTTTCAGTCGGAACTCCTTGTTCAAGTCCTCGTACAGCACAGGTGTGCTACCTGGGGCGCCATTGAGAGCCACAGGAAGGTCACGCATGCGAAGGGCGCTCTTAGCCTCGCCACTGCGGCGGCATGTACATTTACCCCCTCATCATATCGTGACTGACGTATTTATCAGATGGAACGCGCCCTCAAGATTATCGGCCGTGACAAGACGCTCATCAGTGAACTGGAGGTCAACAGTAAAGGCAATGCTGTCAAAGTCCCCCACAGTATGAACAAAGCCTCAGGCAAGATCAGCAACTCTCGAAAGGCCTTTTCCGACACCAACTTTGGTGCGGCAACCAGGGGCTATATGAAGTCCATCAATCGCCTCGACGAGTCGATCCTCCAGGACGTCTGGGGCCGCACGAAGGAGATCGCTGCGAGGAGGCGTGGTGCGCCCCCCACTGTGGAAGAAGATTCTGAGGATGAGCGCGCACTCATCTTTGATACCTGGTACTGTCCTTTTCTGTCACTTTCTAGTGTCCCAACTGATGGATTTTGGTGCTACTTTCTGTTTTATAGAGTTGTACTGCCCCTTCCTCTCGTCATTCATCATCGCTGTTCCCTGCTTGTTTGTTCACTGTTGCCCGCCGCGCGCATGTTAAATGTCTCGTTTTCGCTACTTACCAGTACTTTCATATTGCTTTCTCTCCTTTTTGTCTCGCTTAATATACAAATGCAATGATATACGGTTATTTTTGTCTTGAACAAGTGCACAATAAGTGAAATAAGTGAAATAAGTTGCTACAATTTACACTACTTGCACGACTTGCACTGCTTGTATTGTAGGAATAATTGAAAATAATTTCTCAAAAAGCGAAAATAAAGGTAGAAAAGTAAAATTCAAGAGGAGGCATCTACTTATCCAACTTATATGCCTTGTGGCAAGTGGATGGCAAGTGGGTGTCGCCATTTTTGCGAGTGACTTTTCCGCTCCTTTTTGGGATTTTGACCGGCGGCAAGTCTCGAAAAAGGAAGTTAAGAAATGTGGGAATTTACTGATGTAGGTTTGACAGCTCATAGTTGCTATTTGTCCAACTTCAAATGTCTGTTTCATTTCCTCGTTTCGCGGCTTCTTATTCTCGTTTTGCGGCTTCTTATTCTCGTTTTGCAGCTCTATCTTTCGGTTTCGGATATCAAGTCTCTCAGTGTGGTCGTTTTGCGGCACTATCGGGTTGTGATCAGTGCGTTGGCACTATTATTAAAAAAAAAAAAAAAAAGAAAAATAGCCCTTTAGCCGTTTGGTCCAAAACTCGACTCTTTTCGAGTCAAATTTGACTCGCTTTCAGTCACCAGTCGTTTTGGCCTTCAGTCACCAGTCATTCGGTGGGGAGCTCAGTCACCGATTGTTTGGTGGCTTGTACATTACTATTTCGTCCTAGTTACTATACGTACCTTCCGTTTTCCAACGAGCTGTCACTCCTAGTACTAAAAATTGATTGCGGGTCCTCTAAGTACTAGTATTATGGCGCCTTCTATTACATAGTCGGACGCGAAGAAGCAAACTAGTAACGCAGGCCAATTTTGTTGTAAGATGTCAGCACATAAAGTACAGCAAAGTATGCATGTCTAGCAAGTAATACAAATGCGAATATAAGCCCGTAACATGCTATTCCAGATAACCCCGATCCCAGCAGGTATCAAAACTCTTGAGTAATTTGAGCGGATCAACCGCATTGCTGTACAATATTTGGTATGGTAAGTGGCGTGAGTGTGAGGTCCAGATGAATCAATCATCGCAGGGTGGTAATCATGACGAGCCAGAGATAGCGCCATTGATGGCGTTCAAAAGAATGTTGTTGTAGTCGCCGCCCACCTCCCACAGGGCGAAACCAGCCAGGCCAGCCTGTTTAATGAATTTGCCCTTTGCAGCTGCAGAAAAATTAGCTAAATTCAGCTGTTTAGAGCGGGAAAACGTACTGAAGGATTGAGCATCATCGTAAGCTACCATAATCTGTGTGTTGGGGTTGTAGACGTATGGCTAACAAAGACAGGAATTAGACTAGTGAAAAATTTGCGAACAAGGAACACGCACCGTCTGGCTGCAGTTGTCGAAACGGCTGGTCATACCAGAAGCGACGCTACCGTCCTGGTTCAGGAAACCGGCATCAATGAGTCCCCAGAAGTTGAAGTCCCCGGAAGCAGGCTGGTTTACACCGCAAGCATCTGGACCAGCAGCATCCCAGCTGTCACCGAGGATGGGGTTGTTGGTGTTAAAGGTGGGGTATGAGGCCAACGTGTTAGCCTGGACAGCTGCAGATTGGCTGATGGAGTAGCCATGTCCGTAGCTAGGCACACCAAGAACGATTTGGGAAGCAGAGAACCCTGCAGCAGTCCAGAGCTTGACGGCAGAAGTTGCAGAGCCAGTTTGGTCAGCAGCCGGAGCACAGGAGTCGTCTAAAGGAGAGTTGGGGCCTACGACCTTGCTGAAACCGTCGCCATACACGTCGTAGTTCATGATTTCTACGGAAATATTAACGGCTATAATGGTAGGCATTGACCAATCTACTCACCGACGTAATCCAAAACCTGGGCAAAACTGGTGAGGTCAGTCGATGGGTTCCCCGTAGCATCGTTCCATGGCTTGACAGGGGTAGCAGCAGAGAAAGACACATTCGGTAACGCCGTCTTCAGCTCCTGGAGCGTAGACAGAAGATTGGCAGTATCCTGAGACGACTGTGTGTTGCAAGAAAGACCGTTGGCACTACCGGGGTACTCCCAGCTGTAAAAATCAATGTCAACACCGAGAATGACCACGTTGAGTTAAATATACATACTCGAACTCGACACCTTGGAAGCCATACTTATTCACCATGCTGACGATCGACTGGACGAAAGTCGTACGGTTGCTTGAGGTGGAGATAGAAGATGAGAAATATATGGAACCATCCCAACCACCAATAGTCAATACGGGGACAACGTTCTGTTATCCAGTAAGCCAACCATCAGACATAAAAAGGTGTAATCATACATTTTGCTTGGCGGCAGCAACGAAGGTGACAGGACCGCTAGGGGCGCTGTCACTGACAGTCATTATAGCAGTTCCACTAGCGGAAGTGATAGCTCTATATATCAAAATGAGAAAAGTTTGCATGGTGATTCTGAAAAATTGACTTACCCGAAGTAAGCCATTCTATTGAAGCCCTCCCACTTGATGTCGGCAACCGTGTAGTCGGTGTGCCAGTTGGCAAACCAGGCCATTGCGATAGATCCATTACCAGGGTTCACAGGCGTTGAAGTAGACACTGGCCCAGAGGCAGAGGTAGAGGTGGTAGTCGAGGTAGGTGTACTGGCACTAGCAGCAGATGATGATCTAAGGGAGCAAGTTGGGGCGGCAGCTGCAAACGGCAGTACCAGCAGAGAAGCTATCACCAGAGAAAATTTCATGATGATCAAAAGTGTTTTTAAAAGATGGACGTCGACAGTGAGTGAATGCAAGCGAGAGTTGTAAGTAAGTGCTAGCTAGAGCACGAATTGCAATCAGGACCAGGCCTTGGAGCAGTTGAAAATCAGACGGGAAAAGTAAAGAACGACAGACAGGCAGACGGCCCTTTTGTAGTTGTGAGACAACGTGTGGACCTTCCCAACCGGAAAGTGACCCAGCCACAGAAGTCATGCATGATCAATGCGGCGCCACTAAGTAAATGCCTAAATTACACACACTTTTGTTCTTTTTTTGTTCATCATATTAGTCATCCTGTGGGCGCTTACCTTTAACACTGTGGCATTGTTCGTTGGTACCGTTGAACCGTTCCCCATTGATATATCGATGGTAAATGGGCCCAATATATGCCAATGCGCCAAAGAACCACTGAATCTCCGTTGTGCATTGGTGAGTTCCACATGACTCGGAGAAGGTGCTGCTTTTTCTCTCCAGGAATCTATGGTGCACGCCTGGTTCAATCAGATCTCTAGGAGATCATCATCATCCAATGGCAGCTTATGGCCCGAATGTCAGTCACTGGGCAGTCTAAATCTCTGCCACGGGCCCTACCGCTAGGCTACATACGTAGCCGTCGAACTCGACATGCGCCAGGGGTCTCCGAGGCGCAACAACTTGTGATCATGGCCACTTCTTGATGCGCGTCCTTCGAGATCAGTCCATTGAGCTATTAATAATGTTATGATTCCTGATAGATTGGAAGCAAGTGTTTCCTATAGTAGAAAGTCGGTGAAACCTTTTGCTAGTCACAGACTCACAGTACTAGTCTCCAGTAGCTGATCCAACATCAGATATGACAGTCGATGTCTTCGATCATGCCCTGCTACGTGGTCCAGCACGACTGTACGTGATCATCATGGCGACAAATGGCCTTCACCGACGGAAATTAGTATGTTAAGGAGGTTCTCTCGACAGTTGCACAGTTGACGCTCGGGCAGGTCGTCGTCGTCGTCACTCTAAATCGGATGATCGGTTGCAGGGCAGGTTGAGGCTTGAGCCTGAGCATACATCACACAGCAGTCATTGAGTTGTCAACGTATGTATATATCTCATTGATTGTTGTCCTCCAGCGATGCCCATCGATCGGATCGAGTGCGAATTCTACGTGTATTTTTCTAGTCGTGAGAGTCGGAGGCATAATATACATTTATTTACAACAGTTCTCACTGTCTATACATGCTTCGCAAGAGCTATTGTTCGGTGTTATACGGCACAAGACGAGCACAAGTCCTGAACGACAGACTTCAGTATAAAAGCCAAGTGAGAAAACCGCCACTGCCCACCAATCGCCAGCATCGTCAAATCATCATCAATACAACAGATGAGATCCGGGGACGCGCTGCGAACATGTTACCGAAAAGACGGGCAGAAAAGAAGCGCGGACGCGAGGACTCCGCACATCTAACTGTAGTGTACCCTGTCTTCTCAGCTACCTGCAGCAATCAGCATGTTTGTCGTCCGAATTCATAACGAACGCAGCGTCTACAAACCTCCCCCTCAGCTATGAATATGAAACCGAACAGGCTACCTTAAGGCAAAGTCCCGACCAAGACCCTATCCACCACCTCTAACAAGTCCTATTCGTACAGCAAGACGTCTAGCTTGGTTTGCTTCGATTCTCCGAGATCGAAACAGGGATACGGCTATGGCGACAGTAGCGAAAAACAGGTTGCACGCCACGAATTCGTAAAAATCAGCACGCTCTTGTGCGGGAACACGACCGCAAGGCTGCCATGCAGGAGTCTCCCCGAGAGCTCCCGGGGGTGGAGATATAGGGTACGGTTCATCAGGTCTTGGTGTAGGTATGGTCGTGTTCGAACAATGCATGAGTTGACGATTGCCGAATGGATGACAGAAGGGTTCATGAAGCTACAGTTATGTTTATTCTCCGTCCAGCACATTCATATAGTAGAAAACGTACAGCATCTAGTGGACATGGTTCACATGCGCCGAATGGGCGACAAGTAACAGACTGGTTCCGGCTCGGATCAACGTGTTGAGCATGAATAATATTCACGACACATAAAAGCATAAAGCTGCAATTCACAAGTTAGAGAGGTTATGATATTTAGAGTTGAGAGATACCCACAAAATGAGTTTCATGACTGTACTCGCCGCCGCCGTATGCAACATTGTGAAAGCATGAATGTGAACAGGCGTGAGAAACCTTCGCTTGCTTGCCTCATACTTGGTTGACGCCGTAGTAAGTGCGATCTTCCAAGCCATTACAGTGCCAAACTCACTACTAGGATAGGTTCTGCAGCTTAAACATGTCTCGTCGTACAGCAGTAATCGAAGAATTCGACGATGACACTGACCTCCCCCTCCCATCGCGTCCACTCAATGCTGGGCCGCGCGGACCCCTACTCGAAGAGATAGGGCATTCCGACGAAGAAGACAGTGAGTCTGAATCGGACGATGCGTCTGCGCTTGGCCAAGCATCACAATCACAATCACAATCACAATCACAATCTTCATTCCACGCCCCAACGTCGTCTGGTCAATCGCTTGGTCAACCATCCAATACCGTCACTGACATCACGCCTTATAAGAAGTACGTTATTCATACAACTGTTCTTCGCTTGCTAAGAATTTGCTAGATGGACGTGCATCTACCCCATCTATATCGACGCAAAACGCCCATATGGGACGGGCGAGCGCCGAGTAGCGCGTGAGAAGAGCGTTTGGTGGCCTCTAAGCAAGGATATCGCAGATGCGACTAGCCGGCTTGGATTGGGCACCTTGCATGAAGTGCAGAAATCTCATCCTAGAGACTGGGAGAACCCTGGTCGTGTGCGCGTGCAGTGGAAGAAAGATGGGCGACTGCTGAACCCCGCGATCAAAACGAGTACGTGAATTCATTCCGCCTCTTCTCTAATAACTCAAGTATGTTCAGAAAAACAGCTGCTGGAGATGATATCATTCCAGATCCAACGGTTAAAACAAGATAATATTCCCCGCCCACCATACATAATGACCCCGCCTCCAGTTTCTGCCGCTCAACCAGCGATCAAAACTCCTACCTCCGCGAAGGGCAAGCAAAAGTCTAAAGCGGGTTCTGGTGTTGCTGTGCAGCTTTCCAAGTCAAGTCAACAGCGCTTGCCTACACCTCCACAACCTCTGCCAGCTTTGGCAAGCCGAGTATCTCCTTACTCACCGGCTTTACCCACGGGAATGCTAATCGAAACCGTTAAAGCTGGCATGAGTGCGCAGGAGCCGGGTGCAGGAGCTGCTCCTGGCCAACCGGGTATTCAAAAAGGTAAACGGAAGGTTCTCAGAGTTAGGGGATGATTTAGGACTCTAGTAATGGTGCAAATTCTCATGTACAAGATACTTGGAAACACTCACGAATTATTGGTGATGAATTTCCAACGCACTGCATCATTTCAAATGGGTGAAACATTCGGATTCAACCATAGCCCAGTCCGACGACATCAACTACTATGCCAACGTGCCTGACTGATCTAGCAGGAGTTTGTCCTACAATGATAGCGGACAAATTTGCATAGTGGTTTCTACAGTGATCAACTCTTCGGCCTCGAGATCATTGCCATTGCCATGGGTAGGCCCGTTGATGCAAGCCCTCTTCTTTGCCTGACCTGCAGAATCCGCTGTGATGTTATATTGAGCGCAGAGCGCAGGAGCAACAGTGGTGAAGTATCCATTGAATTACACTTTGAGACACTTTCCAGACCATATAGTCGGCTTAAGGCGGATTGTCCAGGTGTTTCGGTGTGTGATTTAGACGTCTTGGATGCGCCTGCTACAGAGCAACCAATATGATCATGTAAAAGAAGCGATTTACTTCCTGCTGGTTGTTGGCATCCACCTCCAAGCAAGAATAAGGTCTTCCATGCCTGAACTTGCAAGTGCTGGTTTGATATCAATACACTGGCAGGAGGCTTCTTCACATGACGTGACCGCTACTGCTGCATCTGCGTTACATCTAGCACCAGCGGACTATTTTCTTCGCTTTGGTCAGACTCACCACTGACGGCAGTCGCACCTGCCACCGCTCCATCAGCAGATCCATCGCTTGCACCCTCATCACCAACAAGATCTTCAGTTCCTATAATGTAGGTGTGTCAGCTGCAGAAAGAATGGTGACTATGATAGATGCTTACCACCCTAAGGTGTACACGTCCTTGCCTCGGTCCGCGGTGTCCTGGTCACACTCAGCGTGTGTGAGAGGGAATTAGTCGGAAATGACTCAAGCGACGTGGAGTCATCAAGATTCAACACCCAAATTGCGTGGTTCAACATCGTGTATTGTCGTAGAATCGTGCACAATGGTCCGTGAGTGTGACCACCGCGATTCCAAAGGCGTAGGCGGGCTAGCATCATAGTCAAAATCTGTCAATATTTGAGATCGAGACTTTGTACGCCTGCGTCGCCATCGGAACTGTAGGTGTGGGCGGCATCATCCTGTAGGAGTCACATTATTATTGAGAGGATTATTAATTGCGCATGCATAGACTTACAATTGTATTTTGATCTTCTAGGCCTTGTATGATCGGAATCATAAGATCGACGGCATGCTTGTCAGTAAATTCCGTACTGTCATCGCCCTTGCGTGAAAACGTGTGGAGTTGATCTTTAGTTCCTAACATGCATCATCAGCGGTGTGTAAAAGCATGAGACTCAGCGCCCATCACGGTCCCATCAGCGAAAGTGATGATGAACGTATACGCATCAAATTTGCAGACCTCGAACAACGTTCGCTGCCATCATACCCTGGGTGGAAGAGGCAGTTGCCTTCGCAATTGCCAAGTGCTGGACATATGAGAGCAACTTGACGATTGCAGCACGATCATGTCCCTCCAACTCATGGCGACGCTGGATGCGTGGTTGCATGACGGGGTATATCGCCACAAGTGACTCGGAGACTGGCACTATTGGGGTGACACCCAATGGAATCTCAGCACCATCGTGCCGTATCAATTTCTTCCGCTTGATCGTATTCCCATGCTCTCCAATCATTACATCTGTGTGCTCCGCAATCTCAAGTGTTTTCCGGAGGCCAGCAACCAGTGGATGCTACGTAGAACATGAGTCCTCTTAACCAAACTAATCACCTCCTCAATTTTCATTTTCTCAGATTCGATGATCCCCGGGTCCTTGCGAAGGTTCGTGGACATGGCCTCTGTCTTGTCACCCCATCAGATGGCTGTGGCGAAGCATGTGATAGTGCAACAACAGAGGCTCAAACCAACCGCTGACCTGCCGGAATGAGCGAGGACACAAATGACCGACATATAGTATCGGAGTGCTCACCTCGTCCAATACAGCGTTATTTAATGTCAAATACGTCACACGATGTCAAGGACATGTCCACATAGGGCCCCTCCTCCACGCCATCTTCAGGTGTCAGCCACACCGTGATCCTTGCCGTTGCCCTGTCATGATAGTGTTCCATTGTGACGGAGTGATAAGTGCCATTTGGAGCGCAACTTGCTTATCAGGTAGTCGGAGTACTTGTCCAGGCCGGTGGTGTAATTAAAGGCCTTGGTCCCAACACCCTTCAAACTGCTACTTACTATTGCATAGTCCGGGAAGTCGTCATTAGATGCGAGCAGCCGCAGGATGTGACTGTAGAACAGAATAGATTGGATGAACATCTACAGCAACATGTAAGGTCTGGCTGTGCATACTCATGATGCGGACGCAGCTTACCCCCACCACAACATCGATTAATCGGGCCAGCCAGGTGATTTGGAACTCTTTGCAATGGCGGAAGTGTGATTCCAACAGCAGGAGATCGATGGGAAAGCATCAATACGAGCTTCTCGTAGCCGAGAACATTTGTCAAGACTCAACCGCCCATGCTTCTGCCTGTTGGTAATACCTTGACTTGCATAAAAGGCACCAGCTCGGGCTTGTTGAGGTCGGCATGTGCTGGACAGTATGATCGATATGGCAGTATCTTCTCGCATTGCTAGAATCCCTTCTTTCTTGGAGAATCCGATTAGCTTGTTCACCTTGACCTACGGGCGATTCTTGTATTTTCCAAACAGCAGTGGATCCTGGGTGTTGATGACACCAATATCCCAGTCTGCAATTCGCAAGCTACGTTTCCATTCTCCGAGTTACCTGACCTGGGTCGTTTCTTGGTGCCTTCGCCTCCACCGAGTGCTTGACCATAGTTGCGCGCAAGTCGTTCACCTAGTAAGCCCATTGTTCATAAGCTGTCTTTCTCATTGTTTAATGTGTCCGATCGGTCGAACACGCAGACCCACCGTTGGTCTCTCATCAGTCACACTTGCGACGGCCCATGTCATTACAACGGTAGGTGTGTTTGCATGAATGTACAGCCGTAAGCGCAAATTTTCCAATTCAAATTGTTCTAGTTCCTATCCCACATTATTTCTCGATCTGCCCATCGAGCTGAGCACTCTTAAGGTTGGCCAAAGCTATGGAAAGTTTCAGAACGCGAACTCAGTTGTAAACATAAATGAAAGCTGCTTACAATATTGATGTGAGTCAGATATCTTGAGAGTCTATAAGTGCATATGATACGCTTCCATAAGCTTTTACGAGAAAGGAGTGTTGGGATCGAGGCAGTGTGTATACACCTGGCAAGGCATCACATCGTTCGGAGGCTCTTAAAATGTGAAGTCAATCTGATCCGCACGCTTCCTTCGGATTTATCCGCCTAGGGTCCTAAGGCCGACGATGATCAATACTGGTAGCGTTATGTATTGCTAAATTTAATAAGCTGTAAGGCCAGCTAAAATGGCAAAAACGGCCTCACTTATCCTACATAGCTACATCATAACGAGTATGTCAACTGTGTCGACACTGCAGAGAGTTCTAGAGCTGACAGGCCTCGAGTTTGGCTGATTAACCGCTCGCTGTAGGAGGTAACAACGTCGATGAGCAAAAATCCACATGTAATGAGCATTCATTGGAATATGAAGAGTGATGGACGCGAATGCGAATGCAATCGAGGTGATGCAAAGGGTGGTTCTGGAACTGGATACGTGTGCATCACGCTTGTAAATAGGTGATCCGAGAAAAAAGTAGTATAACAACACACCTTGACCATCAGAACTTGAAACACCAAGACTCTGCGATGTCCGAAGAAGCCCATCCACGATCAACAAGATCCCAACAGCGAGTACCGAGACCTTCTCCAGTTATGCTGACCCGAAATGCCAATTCCTTATCAACCAAACAAACCTCGCATGCACGTAGCTCCTCTTAAGCTTGGAGAAGTCCGGTGGTAGGAGAGCCATGCGACGTAGAATTGGCAGAAGGAATAGAGGTAAATTGGTAGACCCATCCCGTGTGGTCTCGTGGGGTTTGGACAGTTTGATTAGCTGAGTTAGACTGGAATGAAGGTTAGCGGAGAGCTCGTAGAGAAAGAGTTGGGACGTACATATTTCCTCGAGCTTTATCAAGTAGCCAAATCAGTTGCGCCAGTTCTCAACCGCCTGATGGTAGAGCTGAAGAGCATTGTCCGCAAAGAGACTGAAGAACTAAAAATCGTTGAAGGAGAGGCAACCACGAATATTCAGAAAGAGATACGAGAGCAGCGTGTGATATGGCTCATGTTGATGTTGCAGTAATCGACAACTTTCAATTCGGTGGCTTTGACTCGGAAAGAGTCTACCTCAACTTAGACTCGGAGTCACAGTTCAAATAATTCAAGTTAGCCAAGGGTCCGGGGATCCATCATAGTAGAGAGTTAGTATGTATCTATAATTTATAGAAGAGAAAGTGATATAATTTGTAGGTCAGTCACGATTGTGGCAGGCAACTTGACATCATATCACTGCGGTCCGACTTGTTGAGGTAAACTAGCAGCCCGACTCAATCAGGTCGGCAGGCTGTTCCCATCCCAAGTAGCACTGTCCGGAACAAGATCTATAGACGCCATTTGAGCTTGGTGGAAAGAGACGGAAGAAACAACATACCACCAACAATAAATGCATCAGGCTCGTTCATCTAAGCGATGCCGAGGTACAGGTGAGGGGCATTAACACTCCACCGTTTCCGATGCACCACAGTCGCTATGATGTATGGTTCGGGATGCTCGTTATGTCACCGAGCTGAGACATGCAACGAACCAGATCTGGAATCTACTCTGATACGGACATGGCCTTTGCAAGACACCTATCTTCTTCAGTAACCTGAAGAAGGAATAGTTCAGACTATTTTGCTCATCCGCACTTCCCGCAGGATCTAATATATGGCTGTGGGATGGAGGGTTGGAGGAGGGTGTCACGGACTGCATGGTCAGGCTGTGCTTCGCGGAGGATGTCTTAGTACATCCCGATACATCGCCTTCCGGTTTCCGGTCAGTGACCTTGCCAGGGAGTAAGTTCTGGTATAATTAGAATCCCGAGCGCCAAGTAAATTAGCGCTGATTAGCTGACTTGCTAATTACATAGCTTGGTTTGATTTGACCTCGCGGCCTATTATGCCATGCCTTAGACCAGAACACTACTGCGGTCCTAAACCTCTGATTGCCATGAGGCAAGTGGATCGCCCACGTCGTCTTGTGAGGTGAACGTGATTGTAATATGGGTAATCTAGAAGCCTTGCGGCGACTGGATGGCAAAATGTTGGTCCAAAATAGTCAGCTGCCCGCTCCATGGAGATCTTTGGTCGGCACCGATTAACATGCCATCGACCGAAAAATTTGCGTCGTCGCAGACCTTCGCAGACTCGCAGAAAAACAGATACTTACTCCAATTTATTGGCAGTCATCGATTCCTACGATTGGACAGCCACGAGTGCTCATCATGCCTCGTGCAAACATGCTGGTGATCGAACAATAGGGCGTGCATGTGACAACGCACATCATGAAAGACGCATGTCATGATCTGGCATTGAATTGAGGGCATATATACGTAGCTCCCCTCAACTTCTATCAACCATTCTCCCATTTTACATCTTCCATCATGAGCTCCTCGCAGGATCGTGTGGGCCGTGTGGTCAACCACAAGGATTATTACTTGCGTGGTGGGGACCTGAATGTGTTGGTGAGTCCCAGGGTGTTCATTGGCCCGTGACTCTCCATTCTGATCTTGGGCCAACGTTGCAGATCGGCAACCATCACTACCGCATACACAGTTACTTCTTCTACCGTGAATCGCTAGTATGGCGCAATATGCTAGATGCCTCTCCCGATGGTGGGGATCACGGCACGACTGATTCTCCAAGTCCTTTCACCCTTGACGACGTCAAAAGTGAAGACTTTGAGCGCTTCCTCTGGGTGATATACAACCCGTATGTGCAATCTCTGGGTTACTGTCCCTATTCATACGTGATTCCAGCCAATATTCACTCTACGATGCTCCCGTCGAGACATGGCTGAGCATCCTGAATCCTCGCTCATCGATGGAACTTCTGGAACATCAAAGACCTCGCTATTCGCGAGCTTGAGAAACTCAACATCGAGCCGATCGACAAGATCGTGGCATACCACGAATATAAGATCAACAAAACTCTCCTTCTCCCTGCATACATCGCGATGTGCAAACGTGAAAAGTCTCTGTCTCTTGCAGAGGGTACAAAGCTCGGAATGGAAACCGTCCTCCGCCTTGCCGACGCACGCGAGCGTGCTCGGCAGCAAGCCGCGGAGAGCGGCATTCGCTCCCCGACATTTGAAGATTTTGAGGATGCACAGATGGAAGATATGGTAAGGGAAGTGTTTGGCATTGCGCCGAGACCTACGTCGCCCGGTCGACACTCCAGAAACTCGTCTGGTGCATTCAACGGTTTCGGTGGCACGGCCAATCAGAATGGCTTTGGCTTCACCCCCCAGAAAGCCAACGGGGAGACAACACCTGGCTTTAATGGTTTTAATTCATCGACCAACAAGCCAGTTGATCCCCTGCACGTATCTACAGACGCGACGGCGCCACCTCCAACCAATGGCTCAACAACCAAGACTGATGGCAAGAAGCCACAAGCACCGCCAAAAGATGAGAAATCGTCGCCTGAAGCGAACGGGGCTTCCCCCCAACAAGCTGCGCCTGGTGCCACTGACAACAAAGGAGGCGCAGGGGGTAAGGCCAATGGCACAGGTGAGTAACTGGCGGCCCGTCTCGATTGTTTTGTTCTGATTCGTGGTCCCCTCATCATCGTAGGGAAAACCCCCAAATGAGGATTGTTAGGCGAGTTTCATGCGTAGCTGGCAACATAGTTTGTGTCGTTGTTTTCGAGTTTTGATCATGTTATCGAGGCACCTTGCTATATCAGTGTTCAACCATTGTTTCAGTACTTTGTGGGAATATCAACGAAACCTCGAGGGAAATCGTACACCGTGGCTGAGTAACTTGAGTGAAAGTGAATTTAGTCAGAAAACCAGGTTGTCCGAGTCAACTTCAGTCAAGGTGATATTTAAGAAAAAGCAGTGCTGGTATATGTACGCGGTTAAGTGAGATCATCCACTGCTGAATTGCAGATGACTCTTACTTAGCCGCCACATAGCCATGTTGATGAAGAGTTCAATATCAACGAAAGAGCTGATTGACGTTTGTTGACGACCGTTCCTCAACACCTTCAAATTCAACAACATCAAACAACACCATACAATGTCTCCTCCATTACGCGACCCAACATCTGACTCCGAAGATGATGACCCAGACTACGCGCCTCCTGAACACCAAGGTATGATATGGGTCATCTTATCAAGAATCGTCTTGTCTGACCAAACAAATCAGACTCGGATAGCTCTGGAGATGAAGAAGGAAATGACGATACGAATGTGACGAATGAAGTGAAAGAGGAAGATCTAGGCGAAAAGAAAAAGTGAGGTGTGCCGGGTGACCCTATAGGTCAAATATACTTATCTTGCTGTACAGAGCGCGCGATGCTTTATGGGCCAGTTTCCAGGCGTCTGTCGCTACGCCACCGCCCCCGAAAGTCGAGGAGCCACCAAAGAAGCTCGTGAAGCTCGAGAAACGTTACCTTTTTGCAGGGAAGAATATCGTGTATGTTCGCCCCACTCGTTCCTTGTTACAGCGTGCTTAGTGATGTGAAGAGAAGTGGTTGAAGTCCCTGAGGACTCGGAGGAAGCAAAGAAGTGGCCGCGATGGGATCCATCAGCGTTGCCGTCAGCTGCTGCACCAGCTCCTGATTCTTCGTCTTCAACAGCCGATGTGAACGCATCGGCATCGAGTTCAGCAGATCCGATACAACCTACAGCACAGAAATCTGCCACAAGAAAACCTCCAGGTCCTCGCAAGCCTCGCACGTCGTTGGCGGATATACCGACTCAGAAGGCCAAGAAGATTACTACTCTGGATAAATCTGCAATGGACTGGCGCACGCATGTCACATCGAGTGATGTTAAGGACGAGCTTGACGCTAACAGACGCGGAGGTGGCTACTTAGAAAAGATGGACTTTTTGAAAAGAGTTCAGGACAGGAAAGAAGATGCGTATGAAGCGAGCAAGTCAAATAAAAGGAGAAGAACCTGATGTATGAGGAAAAGTTGTTATTGGAGTCGAGTGGTGTGTAGGATAATACATGTTTTACTGTACCAATACAGGAACACCAAGAGTGGTCATAAGTACCTAGCCACGTATTGCAAATGGGCTGAGGAAGGTAATCAGAGAGGGCCAAGATAGGTTGAGAACTTGGAGCAACGGGGCACCGGGATTAAGAGCCGTTGGACGATTCGCGAAACTGGTATGACAACAAGAATGAAGGTTTACGATATATTTCAGGCCATTCAAGTCCTGCACGTGACCTTATGCTCTGACCAATGCGACTTTTGGCATCCGCCATCGCAATACCTGGAAAATTACTGGTCAATTATCTGCCTAAGACAAGAGTGAATGAACCAGTTACCTCGCTTTCTCGCAACCACTGCACTTCCTCAGTGCAGCACTGGGATTGCTACACCACGAACATCTGTACAACGCCACAGTGTTCGGACTGACTCGTGGGTGCGAGCATCTCTGTGGGTAAGGCTCATCTTCCTCTCCGTGATCAAGATGGAGGTCGTCAAGCCATGCAGCAAGATCATCTTCAGCTTTCTCTAATGAGATGGGGCGCTCATCCGTCATCACCTCGTCAAAGCGTGCAATCAGATCCTTCCACTCTTGCACAGCAGTGGGGTAGCGCTTAACGATGTTTTGCTGAGTCAGGCGCAACTGCGTTCTCGGGGGAACAGTGCCAAGAAGCACGCTAAATTCGTCGGCATACCCCAACTTCTTGAATGCGACCTGCGCTCGGTTGTAGAGAGACCGTGGAATGCCAAAGCCGGTGAACATACCTGAAGCTCTTCAAGGTCTGCTGGTGTCTCTGGTCCCTTGATAGTAAGAGTAAGGCAGATGTACCAGTATAACACGTTCTTCATGTGTCTTGCATCTGGGGGAGCCTCCGTGACGTAAACCTTTGCGTCCTCCATCGCGCTCATAAGGAACGCAACACCCTCGTCATATTTCCTATCTCCTGGGCTCGATTCCTGAATGCGACATACTCCCAGATTGCCTGCGAGCTCGACAGCACGGTGCAAGAGCCCAAAGCGTACGAATGGCGTCATCTTCGGGCACTTTAAGCCTTTCTTCGCAGAACGCAAGCCTTCGTAGTGGTCTTTACCCAACGTGATCACGTAGTAGAAGTATGCGAACTTGGGGTTACGTTGAAGACCACGCTTTGCAGCTTCAATGGCGTCGGGGATGCGAGATCTGATGATGAAAAACTTTGCGGTAATCATGTCTGCAAGATCTTCTTCTCCTGGACGACCCTTCGCAAGGATAGCTCTAGCACAATGAGGCAGTGCATCGGACCACATGATGAATGGTAGACCTATATCCCTGTTAAGTTCTATCCGTCCAGTACGAGGATCTTGCATCTGGAAACCGCCTTCTGCAATAGAGAACTCGGTTCTAGTGATGAGTTCTGCGAGCTTCAGACCAAGGCTGTAAAGATCCTTGTCCTGCGCACACTTCATCATAGCCTTTTGGTTGTCGGCGGTGGATGACATAGTAAGAAATGTATCACAGCGCATTGTGCCGTAATCTGTCAAGATATCGACGAGATGGTCGGGGAAACGACGTTCAATTGCTGCCATGAGCTTGTGGGGGTCGAATTGTCTCTGATCGTCCTCCGAAGACAAGGCTTCGAGACGAAGCAAGCCACCTAGCGCGCTGACGCGCACGGTAAGGTCTGCACTTCGCAGGCAGGCTACAAGCAAATCCTGAAGGGGTGAGTTAGCCTTGCATTCACTCCAACAGTGGAGAACAGGGTGCGTAAGCAATTCTAGGCCATGATGCAAGAGCTGAATGGTAACGCCGGGCTTGCGCATGAAGTCTATTACGACTGGAATTAAAGTTTTGATGTTGGCTGCCTTGGTGTACTTTGGAGCTGGCGAATCTTCCTGATTGATCGCAGCGCCGATGGCGTGAGCCATGGTAGAAATCGCCATCTCGGCAGCCCTGAGATCATCTGGGTTTTCTTGTATGACCTTGAGTAGGGAAGGGGACTCTAGTGAGATTTCTTTGCGAATATCGACACCCCCGTGATGTGTCACGGTTGTAAGTGCGCGGAGAGCAAGATAACGCGTGGCAGGAATGTTGATTAAAGGTGTGATCTTGGTCACCAAACCTGTAATATGATCAATGCAATTCACCGACAGAATTGTGTTACGACTCGCACCTTTCTGAAAGAGCTTGTCTCGAAGGATGGCATCAGCACACATCTTGGTATAGATGCCAATGATCGTCCCCGTAATTTTCTCGTTTCCTATATTCGCGACGTAGACATCATCGATGTTATGATATACTTCGTTGAAGTTGACGTGGACTTTCTTCAAGCCACTTCGTCTGGAGAGATCTTTGGGAAATAAAGTTAGGGCTCGAAACGGAGCAACAAAGACATAGATTATGCTGCATACTTACCTGGTAACTGGAGGAACTCGCACAGTACTTTGACTCTAGTGTTCCATCCTTCAGCTCTCTCGATATCGTCTACCAACCCGATGAACTCCTCTGATGGAAGACGTGCCACGGAGTGAACATTAACGATTGGCTTTGGCTTTTTTGCCTTCGTCTTTCCGCGATGACCTGGCATATGGACTGGAGTGATAACAGGACCTGATCGAGTGAAAAAGGATGAAGAGCCAAGCTGGGAGTTCCGCAGCTGGTGGCGATCCGCAACTTGAAGCACTAAGCAGGAACTAGTAGTTATAGCGCCCAATATAATGATTATGTAGTGATAGGAAACAATAGACGCTACTAGTAGTCATTGAAGCTTGAAGCCCTGCTCATCGAGTCTCGACCGCCAATGCATCTCCAAACCATCTCCAACGCATTTGCCGCCCATGGCTCAGCGCTCCGTGTCACTGCAGATTTGAGTCAACTAATCGAGGATAATGAACTGAATTAATTTGGTGGTCCGAAAAAGAGCCCTCCGGAAATCGTTTGAGAAAGCGGTGGATTAGCATTTTCGCAACTAGTCCTGCCAAGTCAATGCCAAGCTCGCACTAGTCCATCGGGCATTGATGACTTTGCGCTCAAAAACGTTGATTAATCGGCTGCCATCATCGTTTAAACGTTCATGCACATGATGAACGTTTGAACCATCATGATAGCGGCCTCCAACGGGGATGGTACCTACAAATAGATAATAATAATAATAAATTCTCGAGGAGACTTTCGCATTGGACGCCAATTGTCTTGATGTTGGAACATCAGGAGACCCATCGCTGTCCCCTGGTCAGTGGTGAGCGCTCATGTCCTCAGAGATTCGGCTCATCACAAAGCGTCCAAACCAGTGCCTATAGAAACAAGGTAAGTTTGCGAAATTGAGTGAATCCACGAGTGAGTCCTTTCGACATTATAGCTGTGGGAACCTACCATAGGACGTTGTTCCCAGATGCAGTCCAATCAAGTAAAGGAGTTTGCGCCCCTGGTCGCGACATTGCATCATCGCTGGCCATGGGCGATGCATGTGTAATTAGGCTCCTTGTGGAATAAAATCAGATCCCCTTCTCCATATCTTGAACTACAGGAAAGCAAATATTAATATTAGCATTCGATCCTAATCTAGATTTAAATCTGAGAGTTCCCAACAAGGTCACCATCACGGCCGGCGCCGCGCGCGAGGTAGTTGAAGATCATATTCCCTTATTTATATATTACAAGTTCAAATATCGAATATAAGTATTTGAGTCTCGAGAGCGGAGGGCGCAGAATCCGCTAGCCGCGGGCACAGCTAGCGTTTGCTACTAGTAATGTAACCGAATGAAATTGTATGGTACATTCGATACGACGGTGGCAACCTGATATAACATTAGACTATGACCAGTAGACCCTCCTTGCCAAGATATCCCGCCATATCATCATCACCAGTTACTGAGTGTGAGCTTCAATATCACTTTGCAAGAAAGCAAAGTACCCACCCCAAATCGTAGTACAGCGGATCGAGCTCTCCATCAACATCAAGCGGCTTCCACTAGCACATCAGTGACCCGTCGAACAGACGAGAATATAACATACTCTTGAACATTGAAAGAATCAACGTGAATCTGTTGACAATGTTTAGCATTATCGAAGCACGTGCCCTATTTGCTTCGAAGCCTTTTTCATTTGGATGGGCCTAGGAAACAACGGTGCGCGCACAGGTTGATACAGTTAAATACTTACCACAACAATACTTCGGGGGAATGAGCGGGAGAGGGCCAAGCGCAGAAGTTTGAGCCCGCCGACAGCTTCGAGCCGAAGAGCGCCGTCTACGTGATCATCATCTCGTGGCTGGAAGCATCGAAGGAGGAGTACAAGGGGGAGCAGAAGTTGGAGAGTATCACCACCCCACAATTGCAGCGGATATTGCTGGTCCCGAAAAGCTTAACTGCAAAAGTATGAATTTTTCCCGTTAGTTGAATAATCTGTAGGGGGGTCACTCCCTCTCACATTTCAAGTGGGGGAAACAATGTTGAATTTCAAACAATACTATAGTAAGTCCAAGTCCAAGTCACCCCAATCTCCATGCCCGTCGCTCAAAAACTCTCCAAACTTACTCTTTGCTTCAAAATAGCAAACTACTAGAAGGCCGTCACGGTGTCGTGCAACCAAGACAGCATGCAGAAGTCACCAAGCTGTTCGTCGAAGAAAGGCTTCCGGTCCATGGAGTTGTGTTGCAAGAAGGGGGATATATTCTATGATAGCCTGTCTGATGCGCCGTAACTTGTCATCTACAGGCTGAATGACAGAGTTAGTTCTGAGCGTTGTAATAGTAAACAGCAGCAGGAGACTCACCCCATGCACACTGCTCAGAAGAAAATGGCCCGGGTGTGGCCTTGTTACGTTCACCAAACTTGCCTACCGAGATTTGTCACATCTTGATGCTCCAGTCCCCGAGATATAGGATTTATGTAAACACTCAGTACTCATATAGTCATATTCCGATGGCCTGCGCTGCGCAGTGTGATCGGGTACTTCAAAAAAATGAGTACTAGTAGAGCTAGCACATTCAACAGCGATTTAGCGGACTTGTCGGAGCGCCATTGTTTATTAAATTACGTCATCAAGGCGAACCACGCTGCACTCCATCAGAGCATCAGTACTAGTACAGTCAAGGTGATCATGCCACTGCCAGTACATGCGGACCAAGTACTCCCAGTTTATGGAAACTATCATGGGTACGTGCCATGACAAATCCCTTGTATGTTTCTTGGCAGAGAATTGTACAGGTATTACTCCAAGCGTCCCTTCATCCAAGATCCACGATTAGCTTTGCTCCCTACTGAATTCTTCGTGGGTAAGCGAGTTCTGGATATTGGATGCAATGAAGGCTGGGTGACTTGTGAAATAGGTAAACTACCTTTGACGCGGTTCAGGATACCATTTATTCAGTTCAGGAACCAGGACAGTCCAGGGGAGCACAGCAGGTCGTTGGAGTTGATATCGACGATACTCTTATTAGAGCCGCCTGGAAGAGAAGGCGCACTGTCTGGAGTCTTCAGTCTCCTGAACACGGACATCTCCATGAGGAAAGTTGCCCTCCGCACAAACGACAGCGAGTCCTCGGTGATGCGCCCACTACGGACCATAGTGCTCACAATTATTTCCCTGCATCGTGCGAACATAGCTATGGCCCTTTGCCCATCCCAAATAGAGGTTGCGGTGCTTTCCCGCACAATGTCACCTTCCGAACAGTTGACTGGATTAAGGATGAGATACCGGAAGATCCCAATCAATACGACATTGTTCTAGGGTATGTGTCATGACCGTTGTTGATGAGACCACTCATCACCGATATGATAGGTTCTCTATCTCGAAATGGATTCATCTAAATAACAAGGACGACGGGCTGAAGGAATTTTTCCACCGAGTTCACCAATGTCTGAAAATGGGGGGTATTTTCGTCCTTGAGCCACAACCCTGGGACACCTACTCAAAGGCTCGAAGGATGAGCGAGACTCTCAAAGAGAACGCAAAATATTTACAACTCCGTCCAGATGGCTTTGGGGAACTACTTCAGGAGCTCGGATTTAGTCCCGGTGAGCGCAAGGGGGTAACTGGCAAAGGCGGTAAGTAACGTTCACTTCCGAATAGCTGAATCTTATTTTTTTTATCAGGTTTCCGTCGCCCCGTTGATGTCTACTTGAAGCAGCGATAAAATCACATTCTGTTTGTAAGAAATCAAGAGTACCCTTGCAGTGCTGGTACAACATTGTGCATCATTCTTTATACTCACATGTCACGTAAATTCACAGGACCAATGATTCTTTTTGAATTCGGGTCCCGCCATGCTGTATCGTCTGTATTTGTCTGATGCACGAAATTTTTATGCTCATGCGTCTTTAAATGTTGTTTTTTTACACTGCTTTTCTATGAATGAATGGTGACACGCCAACCTTATGCACACATTGCCTGAATTGCGTAGAAGTAGCCCACCGTATCGCCGAAGCACCCCCGAGCAAATTATGTCGATAGTTACTTGGGGAATCAAGCCATAGGTTCGCCGAGAACTGTGGGTGGCTGTGCATCCCGGATGAGACAGTATTACGCATTCCCGAGCTGGGTTACACTTCCCGCTCAGGAGAAGTATGCCTCACCACCGAAGCTCCCCCGAGGGCATACTAGTGCGTCGTAGTTCAATCGCCGGGAGCTTCAAGCTGTCTGTCGAACTGTCGATGGCTGTGCACGCCGGACACGCTGTTCGTACCCCTGACCGAGAGTCTGCGTGCGGAGCCTGTGCTTGAAAAAGCGCTGCATCTATTGTATTCCGTGAATCAGAGTTATGCTGCGGATGAGCATTCGAGTCAGGAACATACGGACTCTTGTCACCTGACTGCAGTCAGTGATTGTTATCCAGCGTCAGTCAGTAGCGAGGTATGCATATTTTCCCTCGTTTTCTCAAAATATTAATGTTATCAGTTGTACTAACCTTGTATGTGGTCCAATACTCATGCTAAAGATGTCCATCCTTGAGATGATCGAAACCACCCCCGATCTTCGCTTTGGCGCTTTTCATCGGCGGTATTCATTCGGGCGCTTGCCATTGACGCCTAGTACATATGGCACAGATTCGTATCGGAGAGGCTGTGGCGCCTTTCTGCCGAAGTTCCTAATGATTGAATCCGCTGATTTCCATCGGCTGATCTGGTCATTTTTCTCGGGCTACCTTGGATCTTGGAAGTTTGAAGATTAGATGCATACGCAAAAACATGCGAAGGACCAAAATAATCCAAATAGCGTTATTCCGATTATATGCTTATTCAGACGAGGTATGTCACTGCATGTATAAGTAGTAAGGACTACAATCAGAGTGCCGAGCAGCCAACCCCTTCTTCTCAGAAGCATGTCTCAGAAATCCGGCAGACAGACGCATACTGGCAGGAGTCGCAAAATGCTCCTACAGCGTCACTACCGTTCGACTGAGGCGGAAGACTTTCTGCAATTGCGACGGATCATCATAGATATAACGCAGGCCCGGGAGAATCCCCACAAACGACACGATATCTTGATGAAAGGTTGGTGGATCAAATTCCAGAGATCGAAGAGTTTGCTGAATCGAGAGAAGCTGCCGAAGTCATAAGGCAGCTTGACGCAGATTACCGTTCGCTTCTAGCCGAACAGGTAGCTTCGGCTTCTACTAGTGACACTAGTTCTCCCATGCAACAGCCTGCCTCGATTCATCCAGGTGAATTAGCTAACTTAAGATCTCTTAGAATCTTGCTGATTACAAGCCAGTGTCATATGGTCCTTCTGAGAGATGGTCAGTGAACTATGACAACCCGATATTTATGCATCCACATATGGAAAATATGCCACACACCATGTACTATTGTGATGCTCCCGCGAGTTTCGATGATATCGCGCCTAGTCACTACGCTTATTTCAACCAATCTGGATAATTCTTACTTCGTATATTATGGTGTTCATATTGATAATAAGACAGTTGTATATACATAATCGAGTGTACCTGGTTTTGCGCCGACGAGATCCAAAACACTGAGAATTTTCTGTCATTTTCAGGTGACATCGAGGGACCCATAGTTATCAAAGCACACCGAGCTCGAGTTGTTGAGTGTTTTGATTAGATTTCCATTTAGTGCGATCGGGTGCATGTAACTAGCGGTCAGCGGACTCGGGGACTTTGAGCGCGGGTCCCGCTCTGATCGGCCGCGGACCTCGAATACGAGTTGCACATATTTTGCTTTTTGTTCTGACCTGAGCATCATCATAATATGGAAAGCCGGACGCGCGCGCTCCGTTACACGATGTGACATGCACCAAATGAGGTAGTCACACGATTGGGACACCGGACACCTCCTGACACCTCCCACGCAAGAAAATTATATCCCTTAGTCACATGATACAAGCCACATGGCACTTTTTCCTGGAGTGACGTCAGCACTCAAGGAAAAAGTGCCACGTTTTCTTGGTCATGTGACAGCGTCTATTAGGATCATATCGGAAAACATGACTCGCACATCTGAATTATGTCTGCATACATATACAAAATAGTTCTGATTAGACTCTGCAAAGAATATATACAAGAGGTCCTAGGGATCCACGAAGGGTGCGGGTTTTTGGGAGGTATGGCCAGCTCGTACCCTCACCCGCACCCGTGCAGGGTTTACCCATGGGCAGTACATATAAATATTAAGTTAGAACTATGAAAAAAAATGATTGTGAAAAAGAACTTACTGAGACATTGTGAACGGCAGGGAACGACTTGGATCAGCATGGCTCAAGCTTGAAGCGGGATCGACACACTGACAACCTGCAAATGGTGGGAAACGACTTGGATCAGCATGGCTCGAGCTCGGCACAGGACCAACACACTCACAAGCTGTGAATGGCGGGAAACGACTTGGATCAGCTTGGCTCGAGCTCGACGCAGGACTGACACACTCACATCCTGCGAACGACAGATTCAACTTGTATCAGCATGGCTCTTGCTCAAATGAGGATCGGCACACTCACATACTGCAAACGTTGGGCGATGACTTCAATCAGCATGGCTCGAGCGCGACACGGGACCAACACACTCACATCCTGCGAACGATGGGAAACGACTTGTATCAGCATGGCTCTTGCTTGAATGAGGATCGGCACACTCACGTTCTGCGAATGTTGGGTACAGGCTCGGAGCACAAGACACTTCGCCTGTGGGACTTGAAGACAGGTGTTGTGTTGAAGAGGATGGAGGGGCATCACAGTGAGGTGTTGGAATTGGCGGTATCACGAGTTGGGAATTTGATAGCAAGCGGTGATAGCAGAGGAGAGAGGACATTGTAATGTGGAACTTGAAGATAAAAACTCACTTCGCTCCAAGCACAACCTAAACAGACGTCGAAAGGTTGAATTTGTGAGGCTGGTTAGATGTGGGATAACAAGTATTTGAAGACAATAAACGGGAGTTGGAAAAGACGTGCTGACGAAGTTGGAAAAGTGTCTGTTTACATGCGTTGTGATAGTAATTATCTAATTTTCTACAACTAGTGCTTCATCGTCATTTGCCTCCTTCACGAATGTTTCCAGCCCAAACCATCCACAGTACTCGTTGCAGGCATGCTGGTCTTCAAATTTGCTGACAGATGCCTCAATATTTCCCTCACCAAAAATATCACATCCATCGCTGACGGACCTATCCCAACATCAGTATTGAGTCTGAACAAATGAAAAAGACATACGGATGAGTCAGGACCTGAGGATCTGTGAGTAGTACTGTACTACCTGAATACATTGGGTCATTCAGCGCTGAGGATTGAATGTATCGAAAATCGGACATACCCTGATAGTCGGATATGAAAGCGAGCTTGCCGGTCTTGACATACTGGACATGCTGCGTGAAAACAAAGAATTCGGCCATGTCGTAGCCATAGTCCAATTCATCGAGCAATGGATTGGCATCCATATTGTGGATGAATTTGACAAACATATCATCACCGCCCTCAATGAGCTCTTCAAGGAGAAAGACAGCCCGTGTTGACCCTGTCTTTGCTCCAGGCTTGCTACCCCCTTGGTGGTGGCACAATGCAAGGCCAGCTTCTACAAATCGAACACGTGGGACAGCAAACGGCGGGGGTTCAGGTGAGGACGCAATGGAACGATCGATGAAGTCGTATGTGAGCTTTAATAAAGACTTGGACCAGTATAGGACGTTGGCCTCTCTGAATAGCTTCTGTAGCTCATCGACGAGTGAATACCGGCCAACTTTATAAGCTCCAACCTTCATAGCAGTCGGAAATACTTTTTCGAATGGCCGTTTGACCACGACCTTATGACGAGCCACTGATCCAAGACCAGTCTTGGGAGGAGCTGTGAGCGTGAGCCATCCAGTGTTCGCAGTCTTGAAGCCACCAATTCCAATGAAGCCGTCTGTCGATGTATCAATAGTCAGCTGTCCAATGGAAGATTCAGCCGTGTCCACCGAAAATGAATGATGCTGTTTGTGTAGCAAGAGGTCGGTGATATCGCGGGTAGGGATTGGGTGAAATTGCACACTTTCACTATGTAGTCCAAAGACTATAAAATACTAGTAAGTGCTAATGCAATTTGAGAAATCCGTGAACGAGCATACCTTGCTTTACATTTAAGTTGGCACCTCCGCCGATCTTCAAGACTTCTTTGAGCAGATCACGATCAGGTGAATGAAAAGCTGTGGGAGGTGGATTCTTCTTTCGAGGTGGAGATGAAGTACCACTGAGACTGCTAGAGCTTTCAGCACGCTGGTGGGCTCTCTTGGTAGAGACCGTCACAGAATTGTTGGTGGTCACGGATGGTAAGAAAAGCTCATTTTCAGTGAGCGAAGTTGTTGCTGATGAGGGCACATTGAAACTGACGGCTGTGTAAGCAGTAGCATGTTCACTAGACTGAGTGCAGCTCGTTCGGATAGCTTCAGCTTCCTGGACCGCAAAACTAAGGTTAGGGCACTAGTAAATAGACAACATAAAATATACATACCATTTCCGCACGAAGTTCCAACCAATTCTCGTATTCATTCCACTGGGCCTCCGGGACAACGACCATCAGCGCAAATTGTTTAGATTTGAAGGTCGATTTGGTGCCTTTGCGAGATGGCTGCAGGCACTGATCATAGAAATAGGGAACCAATTGTGGGTGATTGGATAGGTCCACCCATGCAGCATCTCGGATTATGAACTCCTCAACACGCCAGACAAATTCTCCATCGAATTTGCGTAACTTTGGGACGACAGTCTCCAAAGCTAGCTTGATGAGCCCAGATGCGTCAATTCGAGCATCAACATCCTTCCTACCCTCACATATGTTCTAGTAAGCTGAAGTGTAAGTAAGTCACAGCACATTTTAAGATGTAAACATACTCCAATAGGAACACCTCGTTTTTTGCGCGCTCCGGCACCTTCGTGAACCACAGTAATTTCAAGTAAAATGGTCTCTGCTAGAGATGAAGCGTATGCCATTTTCCCCCAGCGGTCACGCTCAGCAGCATAAAGTGCGTGTTGTGACGAATACCCAATGGCACCTTGTTGTGACGAATGCCGGATGGATGATGAACCTTGCGGCCCTTGCCATGATGTAGGGATTCTAATATCTGGCCCTCTAGGACAAAAGCCACCAGGTACAGCAATGACAGGAGGCGGATTAGGTGTCGCTGTGATAAATCAGATCATAAATCTCCGCAGTAACACAAATCTTGACTTACATCTTCGTTGTGCCGCATTCACCAATTGTTGTATTGTACGTGGATCAGGAGGGGCGCGGCCTTGTGATTGTAAGGTTCGATTACCTGAGTCAGTAGTCTGTAAGCCAGCCACTTGTCAATTAGATGGTGATCGCATACCTGTAGGTCTCACTGAAGTAGCTCGTTTATTCTCATAATGCAAGTGGCAGGATTCACACACATAGCGCCCACGTTGACCTGGCTCGATGGTCGCAACATAAAAACATGGCTCTCCAGTCCTAATGTTAGCCATGCAAGACGGACGATCGCAAATTCGATCTTCTTTGGCATAGGCATCCTCGGTGTACTGGGTGAGAAGTTCATAGTCTGACATGGCGCTCTGAAGGTAGTCTGCCAAGTGCATGCTAGACAGCTTAAATATCTCATGACCCGGAGATTTATGATGCGGTACATTGGGTGGTGACAAGCACTTGAGGAAAGTCTGTATCATCATGAGGAACTGGCGCCTCCAGAGACACTAAGGAGCAGTTTGAAAGAGTTAGATAGAGAATCATGAATCATATGGAACCGGCACCTCAAAAGACACTATGGAACAATCTGAAAGAGTTGAATCTGAAACGTGCAGCCCAAGAATGCTTTGGACCGCGGACAACATTTCTTAGTTCAATTAGTGGTAGTTGCAAGCCCTGACTCACTGAGAATCAGAACGTTCAGAACGTTTGGAACGTCCAGCCCAAGTAGTTACTGAACTTGACTTAGGAAGATGTGAGGCACAAGGAGGGCATTAGTGGGACGAGCGGGGCATGAGTGGCGCAAGGCCGGGCACGAATTCCGTGAATTCCCATGTTGCCGCAGCACGAACTTCTTCTAGTCAGGGGCCACTGAACTAGGTAAGTCCAAAGGAAATCACCGTTAATATAAAGTGTAACCCTGCAAGCCTCAGAGTGAGCACGTTGCAATGCCCAACCAGAACAAACCTACACGTATGTACCTTTCAACTTGAAGTCACTCCCACTAGGCATCTGAACACTCTAAGCAGCCCCGCTGGACGAAATCGCACCTCATATCCTTCGCCTCTGGAAGGCCCGCCAGACCGATCGGCAGATTATCCAGGAATTGCAAAAACACATCGACACGACTCGCTACGGTATCGGGTGAGTAGTGTTTAAATCTAGTTATTTAAGTGTTAAATAATTATACACTAGGCTTACCACACTTTTGAAAGTTCGAAAGACGATGGGTCTTCAACGTACCCGTCAACAGCATCACACAGTCGAAACCATTCGTGATGCAATGCTCGATTTACGTGCTACATATCCGAATGCTGGTGCACGTGAAATGGTGAGTTTACTATACCATGAACGGGAAATGAGTGTTGCTAGGTGAGTTATCTTTACATTGTGAGGACCAATTTTACTGACCTACGAGTTTCGCATCCTAGGAGGGTTGTGACAGAGTACTTTGCTTTGTATGAACCGGAACTTGTTCGTCAGCGCAAGGCTTGTCGCCTTCGAAGGAGACGCTTCTGGGCAGCTGGCGTGAATGATTTATTCGCAGTCGATCAGCATGACAAGTGGCTCAGATTCGGTCTTGGGCTGCATACTGGCATTGAGCCTTTCTCTGGTCGTATAATGTGGATTCGGGTCTGGCATTCCAACCGAAATCCGCAGCTCATTCTGAGTTACTACCTTAACACAATCGAGGCTCTCGGTCGTAAGTGTTTCACATTTTAAAGCACAAACATACTAAGTTCGACTTAAATTTTAGATATGCCAATGGTCACTCAAAGTGATCCGGGGTCCGAAAACTATGGGATTGCAAACGCGCATACCATGCTGCGACAGTATCATGACAAAGCTTTACATGGTACGCTCCAGCATCGTTGGATGCGAACGAAGAAGAATGTTATGCCAGAGATCGCATGGTCTCAACTGCGCCGGCGGTTCACACCTGGATTCGAGAATCTTCTTGATCATGGCGTCAATTCTGGTTGGTATGATTCAAATAATACCCTTCAAGTGTGCGTCATTTTTCTTCTGTTTGAGTGTTAGTTGTCATATTTGTTTGCAGGATGGTTTTCCGTTGGGTTTTCATACCGTGGCTTCAGCAGGAGCTCGATGCATATCAGGATCGTATTAACAATACTGCCAAGCGGCACGACCGCAACAAAGTACGTGCCTGTGGTTTTACTCTCAATAAGCATTGACACGCCATCCAGATTCTTCCTCATGGAGTACCCAATCTTATCTACCATTCAGCTGAAGATTTTGGAGCATTGGATTTCAAGGTACGTGCTACATCAATTTGGTTGTTGTACTGGCAATAGTACTCTAATATTGGTACTATCATAGATTCAAATCGAACCCGAGGCCCTAGACTTCGTCCGAAGTCTTTACATCAAGCCCTCTCATTGCGTGTTTGACCTGGTCCCAGAGGGTTTCGGCAAATGCATCCAGCATTGCTACAATGATCTCGGTCGCCCAGTTATCACACGACAATCAGTCTGGGACACATATCGGCTTCTGCTAGATGCCCTCCAGCTCGCTGACAAGTTACCAGGCGAAATTCAGCTGCAGGATGATGAAGATGAAGATTTTGTTCCACTTTTAGATGACTATCAAGACTTACCTTCTCGCGAGGATCCCAATGGCGCCTATTATATGGGTGGTGTGGGCAGAGGACTTGGCCTTGGTTTGTCGTCTCCAATCCTGACAGTCTAAACACTGATGTATTTGCTAGACACTGAACACTGTCGTCAACTAGATGTTCTCTCACACAGTGATGAGCCGGATATCACAACAGGGATTGACGAAAGCTTGGTCGGTCTTGATCACGCTGGTTTGGTGGTTTGGGAGTTCTCGGATTGCGAAAGTGACGATGAAATGGTAGATGGATGGTGATTTTTCTTCGTCGTGTATATATCTAGTTACCTACACCTCTTGTTCTTGGACAATTTAAACTAGGAGTACACAGGGTCCTACTGCCTATTATGGATGTGTGACGCTTAATAATGAGCGCGCGCGTCCGGCTTTCCATATCATAATCCTATCACCTCACATCGACATGAATGCGTCAGCAAAAGATCCTTGTCACAAAGAAGTTTGATGCATACTATTGTATATTTAAACTTGGTAACGCGATCATAGTAGAGCACCGTCTCGTAAGCTATGTACTCTAAATGTGGTCTGGAATCTCAAATTCAGAACAGGTTCATTTGTGTCGACCAACTCGACTTTTTTTAGATGATTTTACACATTGCTCTTTCTACGAGCTATCTATATCAATAGGTACGTACTGATCGCACAATGCAGTTGCTGATGCATTAAGGTTGTACTAGGATGCAGCGACGCTTATCTGCAGCTCTCGGTGCGATGACACAGAGCAAACCGGATCATGTTCATGGGCGGAGGAACGCAAGACCGACGACTTGGAGAACATTCCTGTACCAGCGCCTCCGGAGATGTACGGTGTGTGTGCCAGTTAAAGTTGGCGGCGTGAGTCTATTCCGTGGACCAGAATCGGATCGCCGTTTGTCTACATAGTATGTAACTTTAAATGAGTGCCTCTTAGTATAAATTTGCGATCACTGACCTGACATTGACATGTGGACATCACTGTTGGTGTGATGATAGAAAATTGTCTGCCCTGAGCAAACTGTGGCAGACCATTGGTCCAGGACGCCGATGCCAGATCTTTGTGACAGGTTTGGGATGCTCGACTTTTGAAATTTCTATATAGGCTCACCGCTCGATCGGCGACTTGCATTAATCGATCGACCCCTTTCCCATACATTCATCAGCTTGCTGCTCGAGACCGGGAAGTTGCCAGGGCCATTAAGTGCATAGGACGGGGCTCTCACAACCCACGGTCACTTGGGCGATGTTAATGTGGCGTACGTCAGAATCTTTGAACTTCAACTTGAAGTAAGGACAATGATCAGAACGAGGGTTGTTGTCATACATACAATCAATCCAATCGTGTGATTCAAGTTCGTACCAACGAACACTCGTTACCGCGGGTGACGACCATAATCAAATCTGGGTTTTCCGAATTGACTTTCTCCAGCCTGAGTTGGACTCTACCGGATAGATTCTGAGATATGAATTACCTCGTTTGTACTGTTCGGGGTGTGCTCCACTTGACATCACCCCTCGCAAAGTTCGCATTGGAGTATCGAACCATGCATCATACATCAATCGAATTTCTGTTGCCCCACCTTGCCGAGTCTTCCTCTTCGCAATTCTCACCTCTGAGTTGAAAGTTCCCCACGGGTCTCTTCCACCGGCTTCACCTTGTGAATTTTTCACGAGGTATGATCACGCTGACCATATGGATTTAGAACATTTAGAACAGTGAGGAGGTATCATTAATATTCGAATTTCGCACGGTATAAATCGGGAAGCAAGTACTTATTCTCGAGGTGGCCGCACTCGACGAGCGAAGAGGACGTTGGAGATCAATGTTGGTCTTCTCATACACAAATAGCCAAGGGAGGTATCGATGATTTTCACGGTGAAATATAAATAGTTTCCAATGTAATTAGTATTAGGGCAATCTAGTAGTGAATGGAGCCATAGTTATTAGTCACGTGCAAGTCGAACTTCGCCGTGCCCCAGCTCAATCTAAAAGGTCGTCTAAACTTTAAAGGACGCTTTTTTAATGTCCACTGTCCAGTGACCTTCAGCCCTGTGTCCAATGGACCACAATTTGCCTTTTAGTCAATGGGCCAGGTAGTGATTCGGTTCAACTCCTCTTGACACCAGGCCACACGATCGCTGAGCTACTCGTGATGGATGTTTCTGACGTACTTATCTGACATGGTTTCAATAATGGTGCTACCGTTTTTTTTGCTTCATGAACTTGTAAGTTGATTCCATATCATTAACTATGACCATTCTCACAGGGTACCTATAAGTACTGGAGACCTAGAACAACTTCCTCGGAAAGTTATCTATGGGTGGCAACCTCGGGGTTGTTCTACTGCTTTTCAGCGCGTTGGACCCACTCATCGTGAATCCGCAGACGCCTGCAGTATGTTATCATCAAATAGCATCGATCACTACGTAAGCATTATTCACTGTGTAGCTGTGATGCATGTGGAGGCATAGGTCAGCGAAATGGGGACATTGACATTTACTCGTCTTATCTTGTGCACTATGCGGGATGCTGACCGATTGGAAGCTGTTTGCAAGCCCAACTCATCATAATACGTACAAGTGCTCCAATCACCTTCGGACGGTTGGGTGCGAAATGAGATCGAAATGAAAGGAAGTTGGAGCGCAAGTGGCGCGTGCACATGGCGGTCACACGAATGCACCGTCCTTACATATGTAGAAAGTTACCCTCTTTTCCCTTTTACTTTCCGACGTGCGTCGTGTGATGCATGTGATGGATCTAAAAAAAAGTCTAGATGGTCAACATATGTCAAAATCGTGTTTTGAACAAGTCAATGCCATTTGGTGTAGCTCATAAACGCTCATTTCAATCCGGTTTACACCTTAGGCTTAAGGCCTTACGTACTACAGGTAAATCTACGTTGCTGCGAGACCACCAACGCCGCAAGTTCACCATGAGCATCAACCTTTCTGACAACCGGAAATTATTGTTCTTTTGTTGATCTAAGTATGTAATTGTAACAAGATATGTACCCATCTCGCTTTGTGCCTACGATTCACAGGACGACATCAATGGCACGTTCACGATCTCGTCCCTCATGTCGTAAGCCAAGACCTGCCAAGATATTACGTACTCGTGCTCAGCCCTCTGCATCGATGATGTCAGCTCCGTTTGGCATCTCTTTCGCTAGCGAGTACTCAATCGGTAACGCCGCTCACACAGCAAATCCCCGACGCTGATTGGCTTGCACCGAATTTTTGGTGAGCCAATTGAACAGTTGTAGAATACCCCCCGTTTCATGACTCTCAAAACACGCAGCCGTTTCGAAACGCGGGAACGATTTTCGAGAGTCTTGTCCAGAGGAATGCAGCCCACACTTGAACTGCACTTTATCTCGTCTATCAACAGTTCCCAACTTGTACTCGTTTTTCATGAGATCGCCACGCACATTACAAACATTTGAGCGAGAATATTGCCCTCCACGACAGAGTCACATGGTTCTTGGCCTTCCTTTACCTCCCGAATTGCCTGGGGGTCAGTCGAGATGTAGCTGGATGGTCGCAGTCTTTACTGCTTTATGATTCCGCTGAACTACAGGGTGTTAGTTTCCTCGCAGTCCATCAAGTCATTCTTCCTTCCTCACATATGTTTCACCACCAATACGTTTCCTGCTACATCGTTCGAGTTCGTGTTGGCGCACGCTGGCCGCCTAGCCTCCAAATCAATGCGCTGGGTATCACATGAAGTGCGGTACATCCCCGAAAGAACGTATACCCTGAGTTGTGGCTCCCCCCTATGGCATATCCGCAATATTCAGGTTGTACAGTTTGCGGAACGTCACGGCGATGAGGTATTGCCCGAAGTTTTAGGCTGTGGTAGCAAGAATGAAGGCAGGTGACTTGCCCTTCGCTATCTAACAATTGTAGAGAAACCAGGATGACGGGCCATCGGACGAGGGCCCTGTCTCGGCGGAACCATTGCAAACGGGACGCTCAATTCATGGAGGCAAATACCAGAAGGGTTTGAGCAGTGACAGCGGAATTAACCGAGAGCTATAGTATACAGCATGCACGTTTTTGGCAAGAGTCGGCAGTGAGAAATTAGAAAGATTCGGAACCGACAGACTGATCCGTAGTCCAATAACGTGTGAGTTGGGGCAGCAGTCAACTTCCACCCCACTGCCAAGGTCACGGGACTAACTCTGGTGTTTAACAGCATCCTTCATCATTAATTGCCACCCTGCTGTCCCCCCCTGTGGTATTTCGGCACGTTCTCATGTCCATCCTGAGTTTCAAGTTGTAGACATTTCATAATCTGCTCAGCGCTGTGTTGGACGAAGGGTTGGCGATTCCTTTTTCACTGTCTGTCAAGGGTAAGATTTATTAATATGTCAGGTACTGGAGTACTCTCAGTTCTACCAGTAGTGCTGCCGAAGGGCACCTGCGGAAACATAGATCACTTATATGATGTCGGTGACTAGCGCAGCCAGCAATGTACCTGCCTCTGGCAGACGGAAGCTAGTGTACCTCAACCTAATTATCAACGCTACCTACGAGGTTACGACAACGCCCGAAGGCTCTACCTCTACTAAGTTACGACAAATACCCACTCCATCAATCTTGTATTTTCAGTGACCAAAGAAGCCTTGGGTTCACTGGGATCAACTAAGCTCGGTTATTAGACTCTGGCACTCCAAAGCGCTGGCTTTGCCATTGCGCAGTAAGGGAGCAAGAGATCATTGGTGCGTATTGTTCGTACGGACGCCCACCGATCATCTTTCAAGTCTATAGTTGGCGCATGTTCTACCATGGTAAGCCATGGACTCTTTTGACGGCGCGTACGAAGGCGACATTTAGCTCAGCTTTACCACCGGTTTACACAGCATGTTTAGACTCCAAGAACGTGGTGCGGTGATCCGTTCACGCCAATTATCACTGCCATACGCGCGTTTGGGCGAATGGCGACGCCGCTTGGATGTGAATACCGTCAAGCGCATATCCCCGAAGTGTCGCAGCTATTCTTGACAATCACCAAGAGATTTGTTCAGCAGGAACACCATGGTCCCCGCGACCACGTAGTACGTTAAGCACGTACATGTGTTTACCTACTGCAGTCCCTGTCATATCGCAGTCCCTTTATGGTTGCACAAGTCAACGACTCTGCTGGACAACAAGTGGCCATCTGCGGTATTTGTTCTTTGTAGCTGAATGGAGTATTTGTGTTGTACTGCCAGTTTGCTCCTTGTTTGCTCATTAAGGACCTGTAATGCATCTGGGCGTGCCTTGCCTTTCCTTCCTGTCCTCGAGTAATGGGCTTCTCAGTATCTGTTCTGACAACCATTCGCACGTAGCGTGTGCTGTCTGAATTCATCCTTGTTCTTCAACGTTTGTCAAGTGTCGTCTGACCATCCTGTCAGCCGAGCCACCTATCACTGAATTTTATTTGTCCCAGTCACCGGTCGGCAGTACTATAGTTCACCTCTTTGGTCCATGCCATCCTCAAGGCACGTCTCGTTAAGTACTTCTACAAGTGTGGGAAGCACATGTACGCTTATAGGTTAGGAGGCCTTGTTTGGAACAAGGCAGGGTAAACTTTCTCGCCAATAGCAGCATCGGCCAAAAGCAAAATTTTCCCTTGTGGATGACCAGCACTACTAGGTGGCAGATTTTAAGCACGTAGCTAAAAGCTTTCACTGCCGAGACCATAAAAATTGCTTCGGGGTTATATATCCTGTGTGGAAAGTTACATGATCTGTAAAACATTGATCGCGGCGCGAAAAGTGGCATGCTGGAGGCGCTACACATAAACACCCTTGACAATAGCAAATTGTTTCGATGTTCGTGATTGATGCATGATCATACACGGCAGACAGCAATTACATATATGTACATGCAGTACGGAGAAAAAATGCACTGTCATCATGATTGGTAACTTCCCTCGCTATTGATCATTGCTTGCCATCCTTCATGTTTCCAGCTATCCCTCAACGTTAGTGCTCTCTTCAGCGCCCAGCGTACTTGCATCATCCAACTTTGGCTTCGTCTGCGCCGTTGTTGTCGTTATCTGTCTCGAGGTTGTTCCCTCCTGTCCACAGAATGAAGTCCTAGTGTACGTGTACTGCGTCAAGATGACAGTGGAAAATGTTCCGGGGGATGTGAAAGATTGGTCAATATCACAAGTTTCTCTCAACAATACGCGGTATGTGAAGGTAACGATCACCAGGACGTTGCAGACGATAAGACTGACCGCAGCCTAAACATCTGTCAGATATTGCCAAGAGATGCGAGAAATGGAGGTAGCTCACCCGGACATGCGCGAAGACGAGCGCAGTGTTTGACAGGGGCCAAAAGAGGATTACAGAGAGAGGGATGGTCGTGGCAGTGATTAGAATCGATGCGCCGAATGAGGACAAGACCAATATTTTTCTGCCACGTGAGAGCCCTACATTTTTCCAGATTTGCAGTGGCGCAGCGACAAGAGAAAAATCCGCAAAAACGTCCGCTGTGAGAATCAATGGCTTGAGGACCATACATAAAACGCAAGAGAGATACTGACTGATCAGTTGCGAGAGTGCTACAGACTCGGACATCTGGCACGCCTGGAATCTGCATACGTCGATCTTCTGGACCAGCAGTGCAATCCACATGCATAAGAAGGATAGTGCAATGAGATAAGCGAGCCATCTATGGAGTTTGCGGCCTGAATGATTGGTGATTCTGATGATGCAAAAAATGATGCTCATGCGTGCTGCCCTGGACAAGTCAGTGAGCACTGTACGTGATGAGTAAGCTGTGATGTGCACCACATAACGCAGGTTAAAGCTACTGCGAGGAACCAGGATGGTACTGATATCAATGTGAGAAATCTTGGAGGGAAAAGTCAAGTGGTATACTAACAATTTGGAGAGGGGTAGATCCAGATGCATGCCAGGACGAGAACTGGGGTTAACAGTGGTTGGTTTACTGAACAAAACAGCGTGAAAGGTGAGTTTTACCGTCTGAGATAAGTGAAACTGCTGCCCATGCATCTTCCCACCAGACGTGACGCGTCCAACCTCTGTAAACAAGCCTGAAAATGGTACAGACTATAGCAATACCGTGGGATACACTCCCCGTGACTTCCAAGGGATAGATAATAAACAGAAGAACAGGATGTGATAGCTATATCCAATTGCAACTCACCGACCAAGCTGGTGTCTGTCTTTACCTGAGTGAAGTCGGTTCCCATCTTTATCTGATAGGACAAGGATAAAGGTGAGTTTTATACGAAACGTCAGAGGCCGGCCATATATGTGACGCGGAAGCATTCCCTGTGCACGATTGCCCACGGCATTTCTAACCAGTGACGACAACTTCCAGGGCTACGAAAACCGACCCATCGGCATAGTCTCACAAAATGTAAGGTGCCTGTTGGGATGCCGTGTCAATCAGTCTGCGTTTGACCCCAGCTTCATTCAGCCTCAACACGCCGGCCATGTGAAGAGAGACATACTTCTCTTCATGGTACAAACAGAATTGTTGATCAAAGGTCCGAAGGTAGTCATCGTTGATATTATATACAAATGCGATCAGACGGAGTGGGCGGGAAAAATCATGGCATCAAGGGGTAGGCTACACATATAAGCCACCCTGGCCTTATGTATATATGGCCGTTGTCCGAGCCTGTGTTGATGGTCCTCTTGTTCCAATCTACTTGACGGTCGAGTGACAAGAGGTTTGCAAGTCCAGACGAACTTAAACGTTCTTATCCCTGCACCAGCTTACGTCAACTGTTACTGACTCACTGACAAGTGGAAACTCAATACTAAGCATTCAAACCTAATATTGTTCGGGTCAAGTACAGGAAGGCCCGACTTTGTCGGCTGCCCAACATGATGCATAAGTCTTGTTTACAAACAAAGTCTCCTTCGTTTACAAGTCCAAGTTATATAGCTGTATTTTGTATAGATAAAACAGAGATGGTCCCTGTGGCCCGTGCTACCAACAAGCGAAAATGATAAAAATACCCGAAAAAAACCGGCTGCTGCGCTTGGGATGTTATAGTACAATTGCATCACCAGGTAGCGAGATGCTGACAGCGGGGAACACACCAGTGAAGGGAAGATGCCGAGTCCAATTCATATTCTCTCGTACATGCAGATGTATGCCTTGCTCTTTAAGACCTCGTCCAAAGAGGATAGCCGCACAGTGGTATCACTGATATACGCCCAGTCTCGATGCGGTCGATCTGTGTGAGTCAAGCTCTCAGAATCAGTTACCGATAACGTCGCCTGTTTGTCTTCCTTCGTGGCTGAAGGGAGGGCAGTGTATGCGATATAGTGACCGCCAAGCTATGGATTCCGTAATGAGATATAGACTCCTTGATTGGTGAAGGTCGAGACACAATTCTCACCATGTTCCCCATATGTACGACTACGGCATATAACCTATACATGCACCGCTCACAACGTTTGCTCCGACCGCGAACATGCCCTGGCTTGATATCCGCATACTGTTCCCGTTTGGGTGCCAAGTAGGGCGCAATATCGAGGTATTCCGGGAATGACACGTAATCCTCGAGCTTCTTAAAGCTAGAGGAAAAAGACATGATAGGAACTTTTGACATTTGCTGGAAGCGTTTCAGGTGAATGACAAGAACTGGCGGGGGCGTGGCAATGAGGTAGCGTTTATATGCCGCTCGCATGATCACTTTCTTGGAAGGAGGGACACCCGTAGAATCAGGAATCTTTGAGAGATATTGTGGTGGCGCGCGAGGTGTTGGAGAGACTGCGAGTTTCTCTTGTGAGACGTTTGGTGATACCACCGGTGACACGGCAGTGGAGGAAACATCCGAGTAAGCAGATAAATTAGCAGATACCCCACCTTCCTCGTCAGAACAACCTTCGCTCTCCATTGTATTAGCAGGGTGTTTCTCCCTGTCTTGCCTTGATGTGTGAGCGTGCAAAGAAGCCTGGGATGTATCGGTTGGCGACCTCATCGCAATGGGCCTGGCCGTCTTAATAGACATTGGTGACTCGGGGGCGGTAGTAGATATCATTGGAATAGGAAGACCACCGTAGGTTGCAAGACGAGGCGTTGATGTAGAGGGTAAATGATCATCGCTCGATAGCTCCAAAGAGAGTGGTAAAGATTTAAGGGAATGCGAACCATTAGAGGTATCAAAAGTTGTGTCACCCGAGGATGACCTTAGGGTATCATGGCTATTGGGGGTATCATACAAGGAGGTGGCAGAACTTGAGGGAGATGCTGTCAACCTGGGAAGATCGGAATGATTTGGCATTGGTGTGTGATGTGCGCTCCCACTGGGGTGTCGCGTATGGATGGGCTGATCTTCATCGTCTAAGCTCTCGTTTTCATCGTCGCTGTCAGTGCAGGAATCGGACTCTTGATTCTGGCTGCGAGATCTAGGCTCATAAAGGCCATTGGCAATCTTCCAACAACGATGACACTTGACCATATTCTCCCCATCGAGAACCTCGACCGAGGTAAATAATCTCAAACAATCTTCTAGACCGCCTAGCTGAGGGATCTTCAAAAACATATTCTGAACGGTAGAAGGGCCCGCACTAGACTGGTCTTTCGTCTGCTTGAAGATGGAAAATGGACTTGCAGCTCCTCCTGGACTAACATCGGCCAGGATGTCGCGAAGATAAGCTGCTTCTTCTGCACTCAATTTCGGAGGTCTGATAGCTTTTGAACGTTTGCTTGTGATTGAGGGAGCAGGTTGTCGGGGGATGAGAGGAAACCGGGGTGTGGAAGAGAGTGAAGGTGAAGCTGACGGCTTTTGCACCGGCGACCATGATCGTTTAACTGCCGCTAGCTGCGCCTGCAACAGGTCGTTGACAGCACTAAGAGATGTCGGCTCTCGTTCAGCATTCACGTCAGGAGAATCGATAGGCTGGACGGTGGGTACTGTAGCATGAAGAGATGGGGATGGAGGATATAATTCGTCGTCCTTTGCGTTACGCTGATGCGAAGCGTCATGTCTGGCTTTCTTCTGTTCTTTTGAGCGACGTCGATCCTCCCTGGATTGCTTGGTGAGCCCAACTGATACACTAATTCTTCGCCCAAGCTTCGACCAGCTTTCCGACTTCTCCCTTTTCTCGCGACCATTGCCTAAAGAAGGTTCGCTAATCTCTATGTGTTCTCGTCCCTTGTGTGGGGTTTCAGCTTCTGGAGTCCCATCGATATGGAAGTCAGGGGTTGCAGCAGGCGAATTGTCAGATTCTGGTGGGTGATGAAGGGCAGTGTCAAGCTGATGTTCGAAGTGTAGTTCGAGTTGGGGTAGAGATAGGTCTGTTCCGACGGTGATTTCGTTGTTGATTTCGTGGTCAGAATGTTTATCCACCACAGCAGCCACCTCGACATCCGCCAAATCAATGCTACGTCGTCTATGAGGATCTACAACTTCAGCGTTCTCCAATGTCGAATCTCTATGTGGAGTAGCCGGGACTGAAGAAGAACGCTGGACAGGAATGACGCTGAGGGCCGTTCCGGATATATTGCGCAGTTTTTTGGCGAGCTGCTTCAGCTTGTCCCGCTTACGTTCGCGAGCATAGTCCTCAGCCTTGATGCTTAAGCTGAGGTCGTTGAAGTCCTCATATGTATGGGAAACATGTTTGCAAGCCTGACACACCAGAATGCTGGCTAACTTACCCCCGAAAAGCATGTCAACAAACGGCGCTAACGTCTCTTCCTCTGGGGGTGACGGATCAGCATCTGGTGCGTTGGCAATTTGTCCCAGTGGTGATCCAATATGCACACGATCATGAGTGTCGGTTTTAGGTGACGCATGTGCCTTCGCAGGAGAGCTTTTTTTCTTTTTATGCTTGATAGAAGGTTGCCGCTTTTTGATGATCTACGATATGTTAACAAGTGAACATGTGATACAACCTGATCGTCACTCACGTCAGCCTCCTCCATCTGCATTGCATCAAGTAGATGTCTGAGGAATTCGTGTGCATCTTGCTGGCGAAAGTCTAGATATTGGTCGTATTTCTGGCCAACGGATGCTAAAAGTTCTCTGACATCAAGCGATGAGCGATGATTCTGTTTGAGTAGCCCAACGCTTACTTTGGCTTCAAGTAATTTCTTTGTCGGTCATCCTGCATGGCCCATGCCTGCCGCAAGAGGGTCACAAACAAATCTCCAATGGGTAATCCGGGGGTCCAAGGCCGTTCATAATGCCCTGCTAGACCATGTCCATTTGTCAACTCAGGTGATCGGCGGGATGCCACTGGAATTGATGCAGACAGCTGGACTGCGGGAGGGATATCCTGGAATAGGACAAGACGAGATAGATGTTGCGTGGCGATCAGCTACAGAAAAAGTCATCAGAATATGTTCATCGTTCCATGAAGCAGACGATGAAACGAACTCACACCCTGCAACACAGAGTTCATGAAGCAAGTATTACCGTGATTTAACAATCCCGGCGGCAGTAGCGCGTTCTTCTCTCGTTCTTCTCGCGCTTTCCGTGCCCGGTAGATCTCCTGAGGAGTAAGTGACTTTTGCTTCGCCATTATAGACGAATTCTAGTTGTAACTCGATGAAAATTACTGTGAAGTCCAGCACGTTGATAATATGAATCAGGGAGTTGCGCTAACGGAAAATTGGCGGAAATAAGAATCCTCAGCATGCAAAAAGAAATGGCCAGAAAGATCAAGTCAATGAGCGCTGCGCCGTAGGTATCCTTAGACTACGGCGACGGCCATAATGCATACTAATCCCGTGTACCGTCAATAATACTGACACGTAATCATGAAATCCGTCTGTATTTGGAAAGTGAACCCCTCAAGAAGAGGTCGACTCATCTAAAATCTACAGGATCATAGCCCCGTGCAGCTAATAGTCATTTAAAGCACTCTGCAGTTGTCGAATAAGCGTCCCGTTCTCCTCGGCAGTCCCGATAGTGATTCTCAAACATCCATAACATCCAGCCTCCTTCCCCCTGAACCTTACTACAACCCCTTTGTTCTCGGCGAGCTCCGTATAAACCGCGTTTGCCCGAGCGTTGTCAGGAAGTCTGGTTTCTTTATTGAGGATGGGGACCATCAAGAAGTTTGCATCATTGCCACCGATGATGTCTCCTACACCGAGGGCAGAAAGACTTTCGAGAGACTTCTGCAGCTGTTTCCGTGACTCTACGAGCGTTTGACATTTTAACCGCATGTTTTGAACTGCCTCCTTGCTTAGCGCAGCAAGCGCTAACTGAGCGGACGGAGTAGAAATGTTATACGGGGCTTTTGTATTTGTGAGAACTTGAATCAATGGCGGCTGTGCAAGGGCGATACCGAGCCTAAAGGAAATTCAATGATTCAATACATGTACCAATGAAGAAGTACTCACCTAATCGCAGCAAGGCCAAAGCTCTTACTCAAAGTTTGCATTACACATAGATTTGCATAGTCTTTTATTAGGGATACAGCGCTGGTACCCTCGCCGGCGAAGTCGATATATGCTTCATCGACGACGACAATCCCTTTGAATGGTTCATAGTCTAATATCGCTTTGATAGCTGCCAGACTGATCAAAGTACCCGTAGGGTTTCCTGGCGAGCAGAGAAAAATAAGCTTGATAGAAGGGTCGGCCAAGATGGCCGCTTTGATCTACAAGTCGTTGGCCACTTGAGAGACCATGCAAAATGTAACACTCACATTATCAATCAGCAAGCTGAATCGACCGTGCTCCCCACCCTCTCCCTCGCTGCCATCCAATTCGAGGTTACAACGAACTATCCCGATATCATTCACTTGCGCGCAAATAGAATACATGCCATAAGTGGGCGGGGTGATCAGAATCTTCTCGTTCGCGGGTACAACGCAAATTCGCATCAAGAGATCAATGACCTCATCAGATCCGACGCCCAGGAATACATGGTTCTTCCCAGGTAGCGATCTGAGAGATGCGATGCGAGATTTTATCCCGTCATGAGAGGGATCAGGGTATCGGTTCAAGTTTGTGTCTAGTGTTGATGAAAGCTCCTGCTGGATCTGGTTGGATGATCTTGGTATAGAGTGTCCGAGAGCATTTTCATTGGCATCGAGGAGGATTCCCTCTTGGTAGTCATCGCGTGCACATCGGTAGGGATGGAGAGCAAGGATATTTGGCCGAATGACTTTTTCGATATCGAAATGCGCAGGTGTTATAGGAGCGGTAGAGGGGGCCAGCCCAAGGATCGTCATGGTGAAAGTGTGATATGGAAAGATAAGGATAAGTGCACTGAAAGAAATCTACGCTGTGAACACAACTGACCGAGTCATTCTGGAGGTTCGGCAAGATCGAACATAGTATACGTAAATTTTGTGTAAATTATTCATTTCGTAAAGTCCGTGTCCACGCGCATAAATATTCAAATCGAGTAAACTTTCTTACATGAACGAAGCACAGTACATAGTTAATCTAAGAAGGCACTACCCTCCATACTTTGACCAAGCCATCATCGCCAGCAGTGGCTAGCAAATCTGAATGATTTAGGCGAGGGCACCATGAGACAGAATTGATGTCGTTGACATTGTGAGCGCCAGACACTCTTGCGAGCAGTTTCGCACTCAGAGGATCCTTCGTATGCTGCGTTTCCTGGAAGAGCTTGTGAGCCTCGATGCACAAGGAAACGAGCGTGAAACATACAGTTATTTCCCAGACATTGATTTTGCCATCACCACCAGTAGTCGCGAGCCATCCAAGATTCTCGCTCGCGCCCTTCCCAACTCCCCAGCTGATCGAGTAAATACTCCTTTCATGTCCTCTCAGCTCTAATACAGATTTCCATTTATGCTCCTCTACTCTTTTCCATATCCTGATTGTAAGATCATCAGAGGACGAGGCGAGATAACTACCTTGCGGCGACCAAGAAAGGGACCAAACGGTAGACTTGTGACCAGAGAGGGTCGAGAAACAATACCAGTCTTCCGAAGGATCGTCTATATAAAGCTTAATGGTATCGTCGTACGAACCAGATGCAAGTATCTGTCCTGGATACCTGTCAGTCATGCACATTATTCCGATGGCAGGAGTTTGACCTCTTCGGAAGGGTGCCATGCGACGCATTTCACGTCTTGGCTATGTTCCATGAGTACGCCCATACACTCGAAATCTGCATCGGGTTGAACTGATCGGATCGAATCATTCAGCAATGCAGTATGGGAAAAGTAATAGATACTCACCCTCCCATATCCACACAGTTTTATCTCTGCTACAACTTGCTAGCAGCGTTCCTGAGCTCGAATACCCAACGCTCTTACACTCCGTTTCATGGCCTTCTAACAATGTCACACACTCCCAATCCCCCGCAGTCTCCCCAGAATCCTCGGAGTCCGAGACATCCTCTCGTTCCCATACACTAACATTCGAATCAAATGATCCGGCGGCGAGCGTTTTGCCTGATGGTGCCCATGCGATACTGCGTACGGTTTTCGTATGCCCTGTTGGAATAGTGCCTACGTGTGAAAAGGCCAGTGATTTACTTCCGTGATCGGATGGCCGATAGCTGTATGTTCGCACAGATTTGTCTGCGGAACATGACGCTAGCAGAGGCTTGGTGGGATTCCACGCGACCTGCCAGGCACGTTCATCGTGCCCTGCGGTAAAACGTCGGTCAGTAAGATGAATATCACTGTTCTATATCGGGGCTACCTGGAAGATCAGAAATGAGTTCAAGTCTGCAGGGTAGGTCGACGTCCATCTCTCCGATTGACTTGCTGACACATCCTTTGGACTTCATGTCTTTAGCTTACATAATAAGTGTGTTTCACTTCATGATGTTCACTCAAGACCATGTCAAATTGATAGATCAACGCGGCACGTTGGACCGTCAGAGTGCTTAGTCTCTGGGTCTTAAGCTTCAGCTGCTATCATTCCCCGCGGGTCTCATACACTAAAAAGTGGCCCGTCGTCTGACAACACTGAAGTAGAGCATCACGATTCACACCCACTGGCCCCGACTCAGCCTGAGACCTTTGGTCTACCCCGAGCCAACTCCCGACAACGAAGCGATGTTTTGCCGCTCGAATGATATTCACGTGATCGCGTCGATTTTCATCCTGGTACTCCAAGCTTCAGGAGTCTGGAGTACCCGCAGGCCAATACTTTCCTCTACTAGGTCGTGGACTACTCACTGTCATCACGATTTAGAGATGAAGCTCTTCACCATGACATTCAATAATTATTTGCATGCAGGACTGACACAGACACAAACTTCGGCTACAACTGAGAACGCATCATGCGTGTCTGTTCCTGCCGAAGCATTTTACACAGCATATTTTTAACGTCCTAGCTCATACATAAGACGGTCATTTTATCTGATGAACCGCTCAGGGAATTCATGCTTTTTTTACGTGAAATGGCCATCAATTTTTTGTATTCCTTTGTCGTTACGGTCAGCACCATGATGGTCGCCGTCAACGCTCAGACGTTTGCGCCGCTCCAGTTTGCAGGCGTGAATATTGCAGGTTTCGGTGAGTACTATACTTGTACCGCTACTTATAGTGTCCAAACTCATGCTCCACAGACTTCGGTTGTGGTACAGATGGCACTTGCATTATCTCGGAGGTTGTCCCCCCTGTCTACCAACTATCCGGTAGGGTTTATCTTGGAGAACCCTCACATATTCTGATATATACACCTTATAGGTGTTGATGGTTTGGGCCAAATGCAACATTTTGTCAATGATGACGGCTACAATGTGTTCCGTCTCCCTGTTGGCTGGCAATACCTCACATATAATCAGTCGACTAGTGTCTTGAACGAAACTCAGTTTTCCAACTATAACATGCTAGTGTCCGACTGCCTGAGCACTGGTGCTCACTGCGAGATCGATATTCACAATTATGCTAGGTACGATGGGGAGGTCAGTGGCTGTGTTTCCGTCATTGCAAACGACACTCAAATCGATAATAGATTATCGGTCAAGGCGGTCCCAGCAACGAAGTCTTCGCTGAGCTCTGGTATAACATTGCCTCGTATTGGCAGAACGAAACGAACGTTATCTTTGGGGTGTATGTAATCGCCACTGCATTTATGGACCGCTGACTTGATTAACAATCAGTATGAACGAACCTCATGATATTCCGGTGAGTCTCTCGAGAAAAACTTTAAGAGACCATACTGAGTTTGTTGAACCTAGAATATCACCACTTGGGCAGAGTCCGGTATGTTATCTCTTGATGGATGTTTATGTTTTGCCCTCTGACGATATGGTTTTACGATTACAGTTCAGGCATGTACTCCTTGTTCACAGGCCTCAGATGATACTAATATTTCTGGGGAATAAGTATGCAGTCACAGCCATTCGGTCAGTATGTTTGGCTATCTGTGTCTTAATTGAAGTTCATAACTTCGTCGTTCAGGGAAGCTGGCGCTATCACCCAGATGATTCTCCTCCCCGGAAACAATTATACTTCCGCGGAAACTTTCGTTTCCAGTGGGTCTGCTGAGGCCCTTGGCATGGTACGAAATCCTGACGGGACATTCACCAACCTTATTATGGACGTCCACAAGTACCTCGACTACGACAACTCGTTGGTGTAATTTTTCCTTGCCAATGCCCACGCTAATACCACTTAGCGGCACCCACGCTCCTTGCGTGACCAACAACATTGAAGACTCATGGTACCCTCTGAGCAACTGGCTCCGTGCAAACGGTCGGCAGGCCCTTAATACTGAGACTGGTGGTGGAAATGTAGACTCTTGTGTTGGCTATATATCGCAGCAGATTGGCTACCAGGCTGCTCAATCTGATGGTACGTTTTCACCCATTGCCTTGCCCTGTCACAAGTCGACCCGTATACTTTGCAGTCATCCTTGGCTACCTTGGCTGGTCAGCTGGTTCCTTCGCCACAGACTATGTTTTGTCAGAGGTGCCCTACTACAATGGCACCGGCTGGAATGACACACTGTTGGTCTCAATGGCCATGTCACCGATGACCAACATGCTCGTTGCATCCGTGTTGTAAAATTGATGTAGGACATTTTACCTAGATACACTTCCTGTAATAATGACCTGGCTCGAGCAACGTCATCCCGTTTACTGTCCCCATGCCAGCATAAAGTGATTGATTCATGATTTTTATAGCAATTAACTCCGCGATCATTTTTCCTACTAATTTACATCCTGCGGCGATGTCTATGATTCGGATCATCAAATAAAGTTTCTAATCTGATCAATGTAAGTACCTTGGTAAGTACGAGCACTAGGAGGCATCATTTTTATATATATCCAGTTTCTGTCCTATTGAGAGTATACTCTACGCAGGACATTACATTCTAGTCTACAGGACTCGGGTGTCCTAACGCGTCTCCCAATTCATGAATGCCCTGATGACTGGAGGCACTACTTCGCTAATTTGCTTACATAAGTACCTGCCCCAGGAACGCGGCAGCCCCCGGGCCAATGATACTCAGGTCAGTAGCTTTCACTCGCGAACCCATACGACAGATCCAAATTCACACTGCGCGGGGTCTAGCGAAGTCAGATCTTCGTGCTTGCCCAACAGGCACAGCTTGAAGGTAGGGCTGTCATATTGGATACCACCTACAATCTCATCTTTTCTTGAATTCAGTCTCGGGCGCAAAACCAACACCTGATGGTTTCAACTTTAGGGTTGAGCCTCTGCAAGACATATATGATATTCCCCGCTCAGTTTTTGTCTCCATGGGAGCGTCCATGATGGCACTAGCGACCTCGTCTTGACCAGAGAGCAATATACATCTTAAAAAAGACAGCAATATCGACAAACAAGCGGCGCTGTCGTAGATGATCGATCACTATAGCGGACCGACCATTCACCAAAAAGTACAATATCGCCAACATTTACTCACGTTGTCGTTCTGCAGTGATCTTCAGCCAGGATTTGAACTGCACGCTGGGACTACGCTGGGCGCGACGACCGCCGACACACGGAATCTTCCAATTTATCTCTATGGTAAGTGTCATGGCCTATATCGGAGGGATACAACTTGATCGGAGCCCCACGCAGAATTGCGTGCAGAGACCATCCAGTCAGACGAGTAACCACACGGAGCCAGCTCAGCTGTTAATAACTGGCCAGAGCCCACTACCCCAGCGTGTAAAGCTTAAGTAAATGCTCACTATGATCGCAAGCATTGTATTCACGTGATTGTATTGATGTGCTCGTCTTTCATCGCAGTAGTCTTAGGGATCGCTGGCAAATATCTGTTCTCTCTCTTGAGCGATGGCTGTCGTCGTCATTATGTAGAGAGGAGTCTTCTCATTACCATGGGGTCAGTATATATATTTTCATGATTTAGAGATATTTCTTGTCATCACCATAGGCGAACTCCGATCACGACTGAAAACATATGCGTGTCTGTTCCTGGCAAAGCTTTCTGCACACCATAATTAACCTTTTAACTCATGCATAAAAGACAGCCATATTATCGGATGAGCACTCAGCGGATCCCCTGTTCTTTTCGCGTGAAATGGCCATCAAGTTTCTGTATTCCTTCGTCGCTGCTGCTGTCAGCACCACAGCAGTCCTCGTCAACGCCAAGGCATCTGCGCCGCTCCGGTTCGCAGGTGTGAATATTGCAGGCTTTGGTGAGTGCTATACCACCACCGTTACTTGTCATGTCTAAACTCCTGTTCCACAGACTTCGGTTGTGGCACAGATGGCACTTGCGTTGCTTCAGGCGCTGTTCCCCCTATTCACAAACTATCCGGTATGGTTTGTCTTGGAGAAATCTCTCACAGCTCTAACATTCCCACTAGGTATTGACGGCTTGGGCCAAATGCAACATTTTGTCAATGACGGCTACAATGTGTTCCGTCTCCCTGTTGGTTGGCAGTATCTCACTAATGACAAGATGACTGGCGTCTTGGATAAGACTCAGTTTGCCAAATATAACACGCTGGTGTCCGACTGTCTGAGCACTGGTGCTTACTGTGAGATTGATATCCACAATTACGCCAGGTACAATGGGCAGGTTAGCGACCGTATTTCTGACATTGACAATGATACTTAATCTGATAATAGATTATCGGTCAAGGCGGTCCAAGCAACAAAATATTCGCTGAGCTCTGGTCCAACATTGCTTCGCACTGGAAAAACGAGACGAAAGTCATCTTTGGGGTGTACGTGATGGCCGTTGAAAGTAGAGACCGCTGACTTATTGACAATAAGTATGAACGAACCTCATGATATTCCGGTGAGTCTCGAAAAAAACTTCAAGGGACCATACTGAGATTGCTGAACCTAGAATATCGCCGCTTGGGCGGCATCCGGTATGATATCTCTTTATTGATGATTTCTGTTTCAACCTCTGACAATATGGTTTCATGATTACAGTTCAGGTATGTGTCCCTTGTTCACAGGCTTTAAATGATAATAATTTTTTTCCGGAACCAGAGCGCAGTTACAGCCATCCGGTCAGCATGTTCGACAATTTTTGCGGGGTGTATTAATTAAAAATCATGTATTCGGTGTCCAGGGAAGCTGGCGCTAAAACTCAGATGATTCTCCTCCCCGGGACAGACTATGCTTCTGCGAAGACTTTCGTATCCAGTGGTTCTGCCAATGCTCTTGCCAAGGTGAAGAACCCCGACGGCACATTCACCAACCTCATTATGGACGTCCACAGGTACCTCGACTACGATGGCTCGTCAGTAAAGTAATTCTTTTGTCTATGCCTATGCTAATATCCCTCAGTGGCACCAATGCTGAGTGCGTGACCAACGGCATTGAGGACTCATGGACCCCTCTGGCCACCTGGCTCCGTGCAAACGGTCGGAAGGCCCTCAATACAGAGACTGGCGGTGGGAACGTAGAATCTTGCGTAAAGTACGTATCACAGCAGATCAGCCACCAGGCGTCTCAATCTGATGGTACGTGTTTCACACCTTACTGTGCCTTTACACGAATCCATATTCCTATCTGTAGTTATCCTCGGCTACATTGGGTGGGCGGCTGGCTCCTTCGCCACAAACTATGTGCTTTCTCAGGCGCCTTCCTACAGCGGTACCAGCTGGAATGACACGCTCTTGGTCTCGATGGCCATGTCGCCCAAAATTAATAAGCACATTGCAACCGTAGCATAAAACTAGTGTAGATTATTTTACAGCATAGACACTTTTTGTAATGGTGACCGGGTTTAAGGAACGTCTGAGACGTCATCCTGTTTACTATTCCCCATGCCAGTGTGAAGTGATTGATTAATGATCAATTAATAGTTCTGCATGCTCATTGTTCAACGTTCAGAACGTTCAAGTTCAGCTACCGGTATTCTCTTTATATCTTGCGTCTGAAATACGCATCATCAACTACCTCACACATTCTCAATGTGATCAATGCAATATGTACGTCGACTGCAGACATGTTTGGAACACCTAAACGACTGGATGTTGAACACAAAGCGCTGAGGGCTACACACTACCTCTCCCTACGATTTGGGGGAAACGTGTCTGGCTTCCTTCCGTCCATTGCAAAGCTTGACAGTTATATTGCCCCATCATCAGATAGTCTCGAAGGCTCTTGCGTAACTGACTCTCATTGACAGGATGCGTGACGAACAAGACCAACATTGTCATGAGCTACTCTCATTATTTGAAGGCCATCGTGTTGTCCTACGGCATCCTCCTGGACGGCTGGCCGACGAGCATTCCATTCACATCTCTTTGAATCACATCCATATCGTCTCCGATATGTGAGCCCTTTTCAGCGCGTTAAAAGTGGGCACCTAAGTGTGAAGACCCTGTCAAGGTCCGAGCTCGACGACTACAAGACAGATGTAGAAAGGCTACAGGTAGCAGACGAAGTCATTGGCAAACCTCGTAAGAGGCGCTCGGATGCAAGCACGTCACAAAACGCAAGAACATAGAGAGGGGACTTGGGGACAAAGAAAATGAATTTCCGGCTAAAAGGTCCAGGCAGCGGAGGCGTGCGTCAGAAAGACAGTGTAAGAGCCGCGAGATAACCGAAGATAGTGATGAGGAGCAATATACTGATGATGACGAAAACTAGGATCATCTCTGTGTGCTACTAGTATTTAGCCTTCCACCAGTGCAATACAATGAGTTACTCACCATTTAAATGTCTGTTTTCGCCTTTGTTGGCTGAAGTGAGAACGGGCTGCTCGTCATCGGGCCCAGCGAGCGCGATATACGGGCTATTGCTACCGACGGGCGGTAGCATTATTAGTAGATACGGTGGAAGGTGTTACGCGCTCACCTGTACCTAGTGATTTCTCACAAGTCCCAGGCAGTGAACCTAGCCTGAAAATACTACAACCCCTTCATTTTAGTAATATAAAGTTATCAAGGGTTACGTGGGCGTCACAGGTGCCTCGTCTCGACCAGAGAGCAATGTACATCTTAACAAAGATGGCAATATCGATGTAGTACATCACCATAGCGGGCCGACCACTCACCGAAAGTACAACAACTCTGCCGTAGTCACGGCTACCTAAAGTGAAAACAGGTGTCAAAAATTTATATTCTTTTGCCTCAAACATGTGTGCCAAAACCTAAAAGCCATGGGAGAAGCCAGTGCCCTGCAAATAATGTCCGCAGAAAGTTCCAAAGACTAGGGATGCGGCACCTTTTACCTCAACTAAACCTGACATTAGAGCAGGTACCAGCATGAACCGATACTACCCTGAACACGACCTGATCCCCAAAGATGGCTTCTAATAATGCACAAAGTAGCTCCGAGGCTTATGCATTATGCGTTCAATTATGCATGGATACCACCTCCATCTCCCCACCAAAAGTTGATGCGATATGCTTTATGAGCAAGTGTAAATGCCGTAGGTCCGTGCGCCATATCGGGGGAATTCTATCAGTGCCCCATCATGATGCAGAATTGCGTGGAGTCGATGAAGTCGAAACGCGGAACTTTAAGCTTGAATTAATGGAACTAGCTGATTGAAAACGCGAGGTAACGTTCAAGACCGCCGGAAAAGAAACCTGGAGGCTTAGTCAGCACATACATCCAGAAGTTCAACCATACGAGGCCAGTCACAGACCAGAGTCCACTATTCCAGCCTTTAAAGCATAAGCAAACCTATGTTCACTGTGATGGAAAGCATAGACCTACAGATATTCATGTGGTTGCGTTGATCTACTCGTATTTCATCGCGGTAGCCTTGGAGACCACTGGCAAACTTTGTCTGTTTTTTCTTACGCCGTGACCAGTCTGCTCAGGTTGTCATTATTCAGGGTCTTAGAGATGAGTCTTCTCATTACCATGGGGTCAGCATATTTTCATGCTTTAGAGATGACTCTTCTCATCACCATAGGGTCTCATAGGATCAACTCAGTATCTTCGTGATCTGGAGATCCTGTCACCATGATAGCATTGCTAGGGTCAGCTCAATATTGCATAGTTTCATGCAGAACTCGCGCGAACTTCGGTCACGGCTGAGAATACACCATGCGTATCTGTTCCTGGCAAAACTGTACGCCATAATTAATGTTTTAATTCATACATAAAGACAACCATATTATCGGATGAACACTCACTGGATCTGGATCCCCTATTCTTTTCGCGTGAAATGGCCATCAATTTTTTACATTCCTTTGTCGCTGCCGTTCTCAGCACCACAACAGTCCTCGTTAACGCCCAGACATCTGCGCCGCTCCAGTTCGCAGGTGTGAATATTGCAGGCTTTGGTGAGTGCAATACTACCACAGTTACTTGTCATGCCTGGACTCCTGTTCCAGACTTCGGTTGTGGCACAGATGGCACTTGTAGTGCTTCAGGCGCTGTTCCCCCTATTTTCCAATTATCCGGTATGGTTCATTTCAAAGTGCTTTCTCATAACTCTAACATACCCGTTAGGTATTGATGGCGCGGGCCAAATGCAACATTTTTTCGATGACGGCTACAATGTGTTCCGTCTCCCTGTTGGTTGGCAGTATCTCACCAATGACCAGATGACTGGCGTCTTGGATGAGACTCAGTTTGCCAACTATAACACGCTGGTGTCCGACTGTCTGAGCACTGGTGCTTACTGTTTGATTGATATCCACAATTACGCCAGGTACAATGGGCAGGTCAGTGACCGTATTTCTGTCGTCGTCGACAATGCTCAATCTGATAATAGGTTATCGGACAAGGCGGTCCAAGCAACGAAGTCTTCGCTGAGCTCTGGTCTAATATTGCCTCGTACTGGAAAAACGAGACGAAAGTCATCTTTGGGGTGTATGTGATGGCCATTGCAAGTAGGGACTACTGACTTATTGACAATCAGTATGAACGAACCTCATGATATCCCGGTGAGTCGCTCGAAAAAATCTTCGAGGGACCATGCTGAGATTGCTGAAACCTAGAATATCAGCGCTTGGGCAGAGTCCGGTATGATATCTCTTGTTTTTTTTTTTGATTTCTCACCTCTGACGACATGCTTTTACGATTACAGTTCAGGTATGTGCTCCTTGTTCGCAGGTTTAAGATGATACTGAGATTTCTTGGGAACTAGAGTGCGGTTACAGCCATTCGGTCAGCATGTTCGACTATTTCTGCGAAGTATCTTAATTAATATTCTGTGTTCAGGGAAGCTGGCGCCTAGCACTCAGATGATTCTCCTCCCTGGGACAAACTATGCTTCTGCGAAGACTTTCGTATCCAGTGGTTCTGCTGATGCCCTTGACGAGGTGAAGAACCCTGACGGCACATTTACCAACCTCATTATGGACGTCCACAAGTACCTCGACTATGATGGCTCGTCAGTGATGTAACTCCCTTGTCTATGCCTCTGCTAATATCCCTCAGTGGCACCAACGCTGAGTGCGTGACTAACGGCATCGATGACACGTGGACCCCTCTGGCCACCTGGCTCCGTGCAAACGGTCGGCAGGCCCTTAATTCGGAGACTGGCGGTGGGAACGTAGAATCTTGCATTAACTACCTATCGCAGGCGATCAGCTATCAGGCGTCTCAATCTGATGGTACGTGTTTCACACCTTACTGTGCCCTGACACAAATCGACATGTCTTATTTGTAGTTATCCTCGGCTACATTGGGTGGGCGGCTGGCTCCTTCGCCACAAACTATGTGCTTTCTCAGGTGCCTTCCTACAGCGGTACCAGCTGGAATGACACGCTCTTGGTCTCGATGGCCATGTCGCCCAGAACTAATAAGTTCGTTGTAACCGTAGCATGAGGGCGTAGAGTATTTTACCTAGACACTATCTGTCGTAATGACCGGGTTTGAGGAACGTCTGGAACGTCACCCCCTTTACTATCCCCATGCCAGTGTGAAGTGATTGATTGATGATTTGTCGATAGTTCTGCATGCTCATTGTTCAGCTACCAGTATTCTTTTTACTACATCCTGTGTCTGTGATGCGCACCGGCTATCAACCAAGCCACACAATTCTCAATCTGATCAAGGTAATACATCAACTGCAGGCATCGAACACCCAAACGATTGGATGTTGGACACAAAACATCGAGGGACCAGATACCTACTTCTCCCCACAACTGGGGAGAACTATGGCTGACTTCCTTCCGCTCAGTCGCATCTTGTTCCATTATCCGACACATGTGTTATGCCAGTTCAATGTCAGATCGTATTGACCCTTAGGTTAATTCCATTTGTAACTGCAACACCTCCATTTGTACCTGATCTTGCGCTCCAGCTGCTTCAAGTCATGATCTGTATTGACAGGCATCGTTATTTACCCGCTATCCAGTTACTCGATTGGTTCTGTATATTTGTGCTAAGATATGCCCTATGAGATATACTGCGAGAAATTTGGGTTGTCTGATTCATAGGAATCAATGTCTGCGAACCTAGGCTCCCATAAGGAGTTCGTGACTATTATGATGTGGCGACATTGTAGCATCGCGGCCACCAAGAGATGTTTGCATCTTTGCAAGTTGAGCATTCTCACTTTGATTTTTCTCCTATTTATATTTTGGAGATTACAGTACGTTACTAAGTTAAGCACCTAACATCTCGGAAATGTAGTAAGACTGGTTACGAGTTTAAAGTTCGGACCGTCTAATTCACGCTAAATAGCCCGTGAGGCCTAGGTACCGGCCTCGGATCCATGAATGTGTCATGGCAGAACCTGCTCCGCCAACAAACATATTCCGACTCCCACGATAAGCGGGGGAGGGTTCTGTCTGCAATAAACCTGCTGATGATTTGTGAGCCGGTTGACTGCAGAAACAAAAGGGGTTACCGAATGTGAAACACCAATCCATTACCGGTCTTGGTACTAGGACGGGACGACCTTTGTGCTTGTAAACGTTTGATAGCCTCAGATGACAAGTCAATAGAAAGGCCACACAGGCAGCGGACTAAAGCACCAAGACTAAGAGTGGACCAACGAGTCTTGCTATCCATACATGGAAGAAAAGCATAGGGCGGCCGAGCGGGCAGACGGAGCGCAACTTCAGCACCATACAATGGGATGCGCACACAACATCGACAACAGGCTGCGCGCGGTCTGGGGACACAGGAACGTCAATCAACTGTTACAAAATAGCATCAACCGACAAAGCGCCAAATCGCTCACGAAAGTCGAGAAAATGCTGCAAGATCGCCAACATCAGCGTCTTTCGTGCGGCGAATGCTACTACCGGAGAGAGGAAACGTAGAGAAGGGGTGCACCAAACCACTCAAGTGTTCTGCAATTACTGCAGGGTAGTGCTGGAAACTAGCAGAGAAATGATCCATGAATGCAATAACAGATGTCACCACATCAGAACATCGGTCAGAAACCAACCGATGCAGCACAGCAGTGTATAATTGGATGCTTGAAAGACAAGAGACGATGACACGGATACCTCGTTGTGAGTTACCACAATCGACTCTCCGTCGACCACACACAACCTGTAAACGGTTAAGTGTACGAACAACAACGGCCACGGTGCTCAACCAAAGATCACGGAAGCCAAGAATGAGTTTTCAGGGAATCGAAGCACAACAGATGGTATTTCGGGGTAATAAAGTCAACCATAATAAGCCGGGTGATTTGAGGTGGGTGTGCAACCGCATGCGGTGGACAACAATACTTGTCCGATATGCTTATGATGGGCACGGGACTTTGCAGACGAATATCGCACACTGCGGGAAAGGATAAGCCAATGCACACAGAAAAACAGAACAAAGAGCCTACGAGTAAGCAGTGTAGAATACAATAGCGACAATACACAACGGCGTGCTAGTGATCATTGGAAACATCAAGGATTGAATATTAAGGAACGAACAATGGGAGGTTCAAAAGCGAACCGTACATAGTTGAGGGGAATTGGCGTCACGTACGGTCAGACCGTCAGAGAAGTGCACGAGTGGGACCGTTTTTTACAGAGTAAGACATCTCAGGGCAATGGGTTGGTCCCTAGTAGGATAATGTCGCAGGTCTTGAAGCTTGACATTTTGCAAATTAAGTATGGAGTGCTGAGCGCTAACGAGTACTTTTGAAAAATGACATTGACAGGAAACGCGAAGAGGAAGTTTAGGCGGAGTCGGGAACCGGCGCGATCTGTACCTGTGAATCAATCGATCACTTGGTAACTCTGAGACATCTCATGATAGCGTCCAGCGAATCCAGCACTGTTGGCTGTCACCGTTCTGGCACTGACCTCGTGTTGATCAGGCTATCTAAATGCACAAAGTTTGCTCAGTGACATGCTTGGTCGCCTACAAGCAGTGACTGCACTAGTATCCGTTTTCACTCTACCAGATGTCGTTCAATAATTTACATCCCGAAGGTGGACCAGTGACCACACCTGCCATGCAACCTCAAGCGCTAAGACACCTATCATGCCTGTCAACATATCAAAATTGAAAATTCATCCGTATGGTCTTCAGCGACACCACCATCTGTCCTGACCCGATGGCTGAATACGTCTTTTTGGAGTCGCAAACAAAGGTGTCGGAACACCTTCACCCTTGATGACGTATGGAAGGATGGACTCGGTAGGAACCGCGCAGAGCAGACGTAGTACACTTGATGGTGCGTCCCTTGTCATGAGAATGTTTCTCATCTTCACAATTACTCGTATCTAGCCTCTATTGCCTAGTACCTTTCCCATCCGACTTCAACTTATTCAAGCGTTACCTTGTTGTGTCCACAGCATATCTACGCTTCACGACCCTGTCAATGACTCGATACGCCTGCGTGATTTCCTATCATCTTGGTTCTCTATCCGATATCTTCCCCTTCATCGAGAAACTACGAGACAATAATACAGTGCTGTGATACCCTCCTGGATGATTTTTCTGTTCTCAATCTACTGCAGTCTACCAGACTTTGATGTACAAGGCTGTGTGTTGTCCCGACGAACACTGACAGTGTTGTCAGTCGGCATGCCCGTCCGTTTCAGCATTAAAGCATACCGAGCCAGTTCTCGAAGTTTCTTGATTGAAAATAAGAGTGAACAGCAATTATTTGACGAGCGTAAGCCTAAATCTACATAGCACAAAACAGAACGCGATATAATGAAATACGAAAAACGGGTGTTGAACGTTGAAACTCAATACGATCTGCAGCGCTCAGCAATTGAAACTGGAGTGCCAAGCATAGTACATCATAGCATGAGGAAGAGCATCAGAAACAAGCAAACAGCACAGCATGCACCGCTGAGGAGTTGAAACTAGCGTGCTTGGTATCGTACAAAATACGAGCGCATAGTATGCATCGAAAAACAGAAAACTTGGCTCGAGCATCATCTACTTCTTTTCGGTCAAGTCCTTTGCTGCAGGCTGTCAGTAAGCTTCGACTTCTAGGTTCACAACCAAGCGAAGGACGTACACAAGCGATTTTCAAGAATGAACTCAAGAATCTTCTTCCCCATTTCCTCCCAGTCGTAGCCTTGACGACAAATCTCTTTCGCTCCTTTCTCCACTGCGACAGCCGTCGGAGATTTCAGGTAGTAGTCCACAGCAGGCTCGACGCGCTTCCATGACTTCATGTCCTTCGGCAGAAAGGCGGAGTACTCGAGGACGATAATAGTAGCTGCATCATGTCATCAAGACTATTACTTGGCATGCGGTGAGGAACTAACCAATGCCAGTCTGGATTATTTGATTCGCGAACATTGAAACTTTCGGAGCCTGTTGCACTCTTACAGTGCTGAGAATCAATATGGAGGAAAAACGACCTACCAAAGGTTGAAGGACACGGATAATGTCATCTCGCTCGACACCGGCCTAGCCAAAGGTTGAAAGTATGGGTGTCAGAATCAACTCCACATAGTAAAAGTACTTGCCTCCTGCGGGAAAGGAATGTCAGAAGCATGAGGTAGCAAATTAATATTTGATTAATAACAGGGACGCACGTTCTATTTGGTTGACGAGACAGTTGTGAATGATTAACCACCAGATTGTAGACCATGACCGCTGTGCTCAGATAACTTACAAACTGTCAGGGGTTGGAACCAGATGAGCATCACTATGTAATGGTGAATACCATCCATGGACGCACGAGCTAAATAAGATTGTTTGTCAGTGGAGTATTATCATTTCAAACGGGACATGATTAACACACATTCTGCGAACACATGGTGAATACAAGGTATTATGTGGCTGGAAGAACCCTTGGCGATTGAAAAAATATTCACATCCTATGGTGAAAGAATCAAAACGATCGATACATTCGATGCTTCGCGTTGTAAGAATCAAATGACTCACATTCTGCACAGGGCAAGAAATATGCAAGATGAATGAACATGGAAAATATCATCAAGGATGGACACTCAACGAACTATGCATGATGAGTGATGATGAGTCGATTCATCTGATAGAATAGAAAATGCTTACATTAGGCTATGAAAATGAGTGATCCTTATTATACTGTTCAGTATCATTTCATGAAAGATATCATCGAGACACATACCACCTGTCAACAGGCGAGTAGCAGCGAGGGATGGGGATCATGAGCCAGAGGTACGTTAATCTCTTACTGCATATACGTGTTTCTACGAGCTGACGTCAAATAATCAAAATTTGACAAGTAGAGGAGAGTAATGGAAATTGGAACGTCGAAGATGACTGGAAGGTGAGCATGTTGAAAGACGCGTTTTTGCGCTTATCAACCAATTAATGCCAGGCTCACGATGCTACCGTCTCCAAACTAAGCTGGGTCCACCCAGAATTTGGGACCATACTCGCATCCGCCTCTTTCGATCGTACAGTCAAGATTTGGGAGCAAACTAGCTTTGCATCAACAACAGATTCCCAAACGAATGGTGCTGGTGCCGGGTCTCCTCAGGCTGCTTCATGTGGTTCCTCAAGATGGGTGGAAAGGGCTGTATTGGTTGATGCAAGAGGCACTGTCCGCGCGGTCGAATTTGCCCCTCATCATTTTGGGTTGAAGTTGGTACGTCAGGCGCTCGTCTCATTTAGAGATTTATGAGAGCTTCTGCAAGGCAACCGTCTCTTCCGATAATCACGTTCGCATCTACGAGTGCTTGGAACAATCATCGCTAGCCACATGGCAGCTTTCAGAAGAAGTCGATGTCTCAACGCTCCCATCTGCATCACTGTCCTCATCGTACTCCGTGGCGTTTGCGACGCCAACGCAAACAAGCGCAACTCTTGAGGGTGCTTCTGCAACCCTGGTGGCTCAAGCCCTGCAACAATCGCAAAACCCCGCCACTCAGGGACGACCCGGAATGGGGAATCGAGAGGCTGATGGAGGGCGGTGCATATCATGGTGTAAAGATAGGTATCGGGGGGAGATCATCGCGGCTGGCTGTGGGGTATCCGGCGCTATCAAAGTATTATCACGCTTCATTTTTGTGGCATTGCTCACTTTGAGTCACAGATTATACAATTATCTCCCTCTCGTCGACCTATTACTTTGGACCCATCTCCTTCGCCAGTGGGTTTGCCCACTGAGGCAGGAACCTTGCTTGCAAGCGACGGAGATACTCCAACACCATTTGCGATCACGTCGGTGGCGTGGGCGCCTTCGTGTGGGCGATCGTGTCACCTTATAGCTACTGGAGGTCGTGATGGACATGTTAGGATATGGCGAGTTAAGCCTGCGGAGGAAGAAGCTGACGTCGATGGAGAAGGGGGCGATCCTCAATGGTCTGCAAATGTAGTAGCAGATTTCGATCACCACAAGTACGTGTGATACGCACTCCCTTATGGCTTTGTCACTGATTGGATGCGTGCAGATCGGCGGTTGGCCGTGTTGAGTGGAACATCACTGGGTTTGTTTTTGTCTCCAGGTATCGTAAGTTACATAGTTGACACGCATTCTCTCAGGACTGTCCTGTCTTCTGCTGGGAATGATGGTCGTGTACGACTGTGGAAAGCGACTATTGGTAATGTTTGGAGGACTGCTGGGAGCATTGGGGTTGAGCAGTCGGAGGATACCCAATATGCTGACGTCAATATGGGCCCAAATGCAATCGTTGCATCAAATCGGTATAGAGTATTTTACCCGGACACAATTTCTGCAATAATGACTGGTTTGAAGAATGTCTGGAACGTCATCCCGTTTACTATCCCTATGCCAGTGTGGAGTGATTGATTGATGAGTTATCAACAGTTCTGCATGCTCATTGTTCAACGTTCGGCTACCAGTATTCTCTTTACATCCTGCGTCTGTGACTCATACGCATCATCAACCGAGTCATCCATCTGTTCAAGGTCGTATGTCGACTGTAGGCATGGAACACCCAAACGACTGGGTGTTGGATACAAAGCGTTGAGGGCTAGATATAATACCTACCTCTCCCCATGACTGAGAGATCTCCAAAACCGTGTCTGACTTCCTTCTGCCCGTTGCACTTTGCGTTGCAACTTTTGTCAAGTGACACGTCCGGTTACTATGAAATACTCAATACATCTGAGTCCTTTATGTAGAAGCTTCATTATCCGCACTATTAGATAACAAGCAGGGGTCGTAAAAGGTGAGCCATCGCTTCAACAAGAATGGTTTCCCTCACCAAAATATGACATCGGTCTGGATCTCTGAAGACTATTCATCTTGAGTTATTCAGAAGGTATTCATACAAGTGAGCAAGGAAACATCATGGTACACAAACGTAAATCATAATCAGGCTCATCCGCTTGCAGCACGACTAAACTTTGGTCGCTGAGTCAGTGTCCTTGACCGCTAAACCCGCCTCTTTGCCTTCCGCATATGACACGGTTTCAGTTTTAGGGAGACCCATACGTGAGGTATCAAAACCGTGCGCTTCGAGGTATTCTCGGAACTATGTTGTAGGTGTATAAACGTCGTGGGTAATGGGGGACAATCTGATAATTGCGCACCTTGGCATCTTCTTCCTTCATACCATCGTGGTCCAAAGGCGTCACAAGAAAGTATACAATGATTGCGCTTAGGATGGCAAGACCGCTGGCAACAAAGAAGGGGCCAGTGTTCCCTTTAGCTGAACCTGAGCCACCAAAATCGTTGATCATCACAGGGAACACTGGACGGACAAACAAACTTAGTCCACCCTTCGTACAAGGACTGTATGACACGTACCCCAAGTTCCAATGAATGCGCCAATTTTTCCAGTAGCAGCTGCAACACCGTAATACTGTCCACGCACAGCAGTAGGCCCAGGACTTTGCAGCCACTACACCAACGCAGTTTCCGGGACCTAGGCAAACAGAGTTCAAAAGACGGGGAGTGATTGCGCAACTTCCACGCACCAAACTCGCCGAAGCTCAGGAAGATGCCGTACACCACCTAATGAACCATTCAGTATCGATGATATGTGTTACATAGATACCTACAGCAAAAGCGGCAACGTGTTGTGACAGCTGTGTATAAAGACCACTCATGATAAATCCAATGACCGCTTGTGCGAGAAGGCCAGTGATCTAACATGGGATTCAGAAAAGGCACTTCACATCTGCTTATTACCACCCACCATGATGGCCTTTGGACCCATGAGATCAACGAAGAAGGCACCTATAACGGTGCCTGCGGACAGAATGTGAGCTCGTGACAGTTCATCGTCGTCTAATAGACTCACCTGGAATGTAGAACAGGCTGTGAAACCATGTAAATAAGAGCATGAACCACGAACGGGTGAAGCTTACTTGATCACAACAGACCAACCAAAGACGACGGTGAGGAGATGAACTTGCCGCCGGTAACGCTGGCAAGACGGTTAAGTTCTACTCGAGAAAACAAATGTAAATGCATACGTATCAGTGATTGTGGATGAATAAAGTACTGAACTACAGAAAAGATCAGTGATAATGTATCCTGTAGGTGCCTGATAACACACTGGGTATCTGAAGGTATGTGAGTGACTAGTCAGAGTGCACTGGAAGCGGTCGTTGACATACGTGATAAAGTCATAGATGAACCATGCTAGCGAGATGCCAAGCAGGCCACGCCAGTATCTTTTAATGACTAGTCGGTATGGAATACGGACATGCTTCATCGAATCGCGCTTGTAGCGATTAGGCTCCTCCATGCGTAGCCGCCAAAGAAAGACACCAGTAGCAGGAACCTATACCAAGCCCAAGCGAGAGGCGCCAGATGGCTCGAAGGTGATTGTCTCCGAATCTGAAAAGCAACTGTTAGACATGGATTACAAGACTGTGAAAGTGAATGGCGGCCGGACATCCAGTAAAGTACCAATGGTACGAATGCTCCAATAACAAAACCAAAATCAATCATGGTGTCTAGGCAGCGTGTTTTAGATTATTGGTAATAGAGGTTCATCACATCGGCTCACTCGTTGCTAGCACAAAGCCACTGGTGTTGCGAATTCTTAGCAATGCCCTCTTCCTCCGACTGTTCAGATGCGGACACGGAACCGCAAGGGTATTCAGCACCAATGCCAATCCCAAGAAGGAAGCTGTGTTAGAGCTGATGAGCAGGCAGAGATGATCTCGGACCGGTGCAGTGTACTTACCGACATGCAATAAGCATAGCGAGCATACCGTCAAGGCTATTGTTAGCACCAGACGAAGCAGATGAGAGACCAGAAAATACTGCAACGATCCCAGTTGCGGACATCTGTTTCAAAAGTATGACTTGTGGGTTGATCGATTGGAATTGATATCTACTTACCATACCGAATTTGCGTCCAGCTTTGTCGGAGAGGTAGCCAAAGGTAAACATACCCACCACGGTGCCTGGGACGATTGAATTACATATCAACGAAGGAGACTCAGGTACGCACCTGCGAAGGCGACACTAGAGAGTGTGGTGCTGTAGTTCGTAGTGATGCCGTCGGAACCAGTGCCGTATATGCGTTTTAGAACTATAATTCACATTGAACCTTGAGTAAATTTCATCGAAAAAATCGCTCACGAGTATTGACTGCAAAACAGTCGGATTTTAAGTGAAACGGGGCTTATCAAGTTGAATGCATCACCCACCAGGACCAATGACATTGTTGGCATAACCTGTTAATGATTATCAGATTCACGTTAAGAGTCAGATGTTGTACCTGCTTACCATCAGAAAACAGAGCTGTTCCACAGCTGTGATAAAGGATTGCATTGTGATCAGTTTGAAGATGAAGAACAAACACAAGATAATGTACGCAAAGATGAGAGAAACACTACTCAGGGCGATCTTTCCAGTCATGGCGTTGAGGGAGGCCGTGGTCACTATCAAGGACTCCTCAATTCACTGATGGTAGTGGTAGAGGACGTCGATGGTCACAGCCAAGACAAGTTTGTGCTTTGCCGCCTACTAAGGTGTGCATTATAGGCATCGAATTCAGTACATAATTACCGGTTAGAACGGGTTGCAGCGGCGTGTATCACTGACTCACGATCATAAACTTAAGTTCCTGCCTGCCCCGTGGGTGGCAAACTCCAATCAGCTTGCAGGCATGAGGCTAAGCAGAACTTCCTTTCCTGTCTGATACTTAGCCACTGATCGAGATCCCACACATTGTCAGTATCGGAGTTGTGCTTTGAGAATCAAAATGTAATTGGAAGATTAGGGATTTCCACTTCGAACTCTACTAATGCACGAGCCATGGCATTACTACTTATCAGTAATTACATAATATAATTAATTAGACATATTATGAAAAATTCAGCTAATTCAGATAATTAGGACGGGAAGGTTTCCGATAAGCATCGACAATGTTGTCAGTCGTCATGTCCATCTGCTTCAGCATTAAAGCATTGGTATACTGAGCCAATTCTCGATTTCTCATAATTAAAAATAAGAATCAACAGCGATCATTTCACCAACACAACCTCAAGTCTCCCTAGCACAAAACAGAACATCGTCGATGTGATGAAATCCAAAAATGGGTGTTGAAACATGATACAGTCTACAGCACTCAGCAATCTAAACGTGCGTGCCGAGTATAGTACATAGCATCAGAAAGAGCATCAGAAACAAGGAAACAGGCGTGCTTTGTATTGTACACAACAAATAGCATGGGAAAGCCGTATCGAAAAACACGAAACTTGGCTTAAGCGTCATCTACTTTTTTTGTCGAATCCTTTGCTGCAGGCTGTCGGTAAGTTTCGATATCGAAATTCACAGCCAGGCAAGGGACGTACACAAGCGATTTTCAAGAATGAACTCAAGAATCTTCTTTCCCAGTTCCTCTCTATCGTAGCCTCCACGAGAAATCTCTTCTGCTCCTTTCTCCACTACGACAGCCGTCGGAGATTTCAGGTAGTAGTCCACGGCAAACTCGATGGGCCTCAAGTCCTTCGTGTTGTTCGGGAGAAAGGCGGAGTATTCGAGGACGATAATAGTAGCTGCTTCCTGTCATTAAGACTACAACTGGTCATGGGGCGAGAAACTTACCAAGGCCAACCTGGATGTTTCTGCTCACAGCAGCAGTGGACAGTGATTGCTTCGCAACCTGTTGCACAATGTCACAGTGCTGAGAATCAATGCGGGAGAAAAACAACCTACCAAAGGCCGAAGGACGCGGATGATGTCATCTCGCTCGATTTCGATCTAGCCACAGGTTGAAAATGTAGGTATTAGATTCAACTCCACAGAGGAAAGTACTTGCCTCCTGCGGGAAAGGAATGTCAAAATCATGCAAATTCACATTCGATTGATAACGGAGACCTACATTCTATTTGGTTGACATGACGATTGTGAGTAATTAACCAGTGCTCAGGGCAACTTACAAACTGTCAGAGGTTGGAACCAGATGAGTGTCACTATGTATTGGTGAAGATATGCAATCCATAGACGTACGAGCTGAATAATATTGTTTGTTAGTGAGTACTATCATATCAGACAGAATGTGATTAACATACATTCTGTGAACACGTGATGAATGCAAGGGATTATGTGGCTAAAATCCTTAGCGATTGCAACATACTCACATCCTATAAAACGAAATAACCAGTCAAAATGATTAGTCACACTTAATGCTTCACATTATGAGGGTCAAATAACTCACGTTCTGCACAGGACAAAAAAATATGTAAGATGAATGAACATGGAAAATGAGTTATCGAGGGAAACTCAACGAACTATGCATTATATGAGTAATGGTGGTTCGAGTCGTCTGATAAGAATGGAAGATGCTTACATCAGGCTACGAAAATGAGTGAACATCGTTATACTATTCAGTATCATTTCAATACCAGATATGATCAAGGTACCCACCACCTGCCAAAAAAACAGCAGAAATTAAGGACTGTTCGACATGAGTTGCAAACAGCACTTACCTCCTGTCAACAGGTGAGCAGCAACAATCGTGAGCATTGATTGAGGATGAGAAACCATCAAAGGTACGTACTTTCTGTCAACAGGTGAGCAGCAACGATTGTCAGCATGGGTTGAGAATGAGAAACCATCAAAGGTACGCACTTGCTATTAACGGGCGAGCAGCGGCAAAGCATCAGGATCGTAAGTATGAGTCAAGGACGAGAAAAAATAAAGGCATTTACATCCTGTTGACAGGCGAACAGCAGTGAGGCATGGGTTTGATGAGTATGGGTCGAGGACTAGAAACCAACAAGGCACTTACGTGCTGTGAGCGGGCGAGCAGCAGCAAGGCATGAGCATGGGTCGAGAGAACTAGAAACTATCAAGGCACTTACCGACTGTCGAGATACGAGTAGCAGCAAGGCATGGGGGTGATGAGCATTGGTTGAGGACTAGAGGCCATCAAGACACCTACCTTCTGTCGAGAGGCGAATAACAGCAAGGCATGGGGTTGATGAGCATGGGTTCGGGACTCATTAAGACACTTACATACTGTCAACAGGAGAGAGCCAGCGAGGCATGGGGATTATAAGCATGGTCGAGAACTAGAAACTATCGAGGCACTTACGCGCTATAAACAGGCGAGTAGTAGTATGGGGATGATGAACATGGGTCGAAGACTAGAAAACATCAAGGCACGTACGTCCTGTCAATGGGCGATCATCAGCATGAGTTGAGGACTAGAAAGTATCGAGGCACTTACATACTGTCAACGGGCGAGTAGCAGCGAGACATAGGGATAATGAGCATGGGTCAAAGACTGGACGGCATCAAAGCACTTACCGACTGTCAACAGGCCAGGAGCAGCAATGTATGAGGCTGATGAGCATGGGTCAAGTACCAGAAACTATCAAGGCACTTACGTGCTGTCAGCAGGCGAGTAACAGCAAAGGATGGGGATCGTGAGCATGGGTCGAGAGCTAGAAACTATCAAAGCACTTACGCGCTGTGAGCGGGTGAGCAGAAGCGAGGTAAGGGGATAGTGAGCATGGGTCGAGGACTAGAAGATATTGAGGCACTTACCCGCTGTCAACAGACGAGACGCAGCGAGGTATGAGGATGATGAGCATTGGTCGAGGACTAGAAACTATCAAGGCACTTACCCACTGTTAAAAGGTGAACAGCAGCGAGGCATGGGGATGTGAGCATAAGTCGAGGACCAGAGACCATCGAGGCACTTACCTCCTGTCAACAGACCAGCAGCAGCGTGGGATGAAAATCATGAGCATGAGTCTAGGGGTAGAAACCATCAATGTACTTACCGTCTGTCAACAGGAGAGCAGCAGCGAGGTATTGGGATGATGAGCTTGAGTCGAGGACAAGAAACCATCAAGGCACTTACATACTATCAATAGGCGGGAAACAGCGAGGCACGGGGATCATGAGCATGGATTGTGGACTAGAAACCATCAAGGTACTTACCCACTGTCAACAGGAGAATAGCAACGAGGCATGAGGATGATGAGCGTGGGCGGAGGACTAGAAATACGAAGGTACTTACCCGCTGTCAACGGGCGAGCAGCAGCGAGGCATAGGAATGATGAGTATGAGTCGAGGGCTACAAACCACCAAGGCACTTACCCACTGTGAACAAGCGAGCAGTAGAAAGGCATCAGCGTTGTCCGTGCTGTTTAAACGTCGTAAACCGCAATCTTACCAGCTGTCATCAATGGACAACTACAATCAAGCAAAATTTCAGAATGTCTACAATTTTAGCAATTCGATATTTACCATTGTGAGCACCATTACCAGGGTTTTGTCCGATTGAATCAATCTTCAACTTACTTTGATATGTGCAAACCACTTAGCAATGTCATACTGATAGTCATCGTAATTGCTTCGAAGTAGCCCGAATAGCTGACTCTGTGTACGGTCGATCAGTGTTCTAGATGATGTTAGAATAGAAATGTGTGACTTGCAAATCCGTGACTCACACGACGGCACACTTGATGCACAGCTCCAGGTTCGATTGTTGTGTCAACAGCAGGCACAACCGCAATTCTTCGTTGTCCAGTGTGAGAGTAGTGCATTCCAGTAGAGCGCTGCAGTCTGTATGAGGTTTGTTCATATCTAGGATAGTTTCTAATATATCAACACAGAGAAGAAGTCAATCTGAACCACTTACTCTCCAAGCGTACATAAGACTTATAACGGGCACGGTTTTCAGGTTTGCGCAACTTATTCAAGACACCTGTTTTCGCGAACAGCTCTTCGACGCATTGGGTAATCCTTTTTGAGCATTCTTCTGTTGATACCCCTTGTAGCTGCTTCTTGATTTGACCATACGCGACTGAACTCAGAGTTTCGAACTTGGTGAACACCACAACCACGGGCACTGAAGATCGATCATTTAGTCCGAGCACGGCAAATGTCAATGAAGTTGCAGACTCACCGCGCCCAGTGTCGCACTGTAAGAAGAACTTCTCCTCTGATTGCTGGAATAGTCGACTCCCGTCACCCATTGGAATACAATACCTGATGGCAATCAACAAGCGCGAAATGTCAAAAGGGAGTTACTTACCAGATAGCATGTATCCGCTCCTCTAATTTGTTCGCATGTGTGCGTTCTGAGACAAATTTCTTCATCTTCTCAAACTGTTCTTCACCGCCCGCTTCGAAACCGCACGAGTCGTGAAAGACGAAACAGGGAGTGCTTTTAAACACTATCTCGTTCGTGATGTCGTGCTTTCCACGCTGAGCATTCGTCAGCGTATGTATGCCCACAGGGCAAATGATGCACATACCTTGAGCGAGGCTTTCACGATAGCAGCATCTATCTACCCAGTGCCCACAGTTTATCAGCGATAAATGCGTGCATAGCATAGATCATCATCCGCACCTTGTGTCCTTTGGCATCGTAAATTTCTGGTTGATCGGTGGTGTTGCAGACCTTCTGAAGGATGGTCGTTTTGCCTGCGTTTCTTCTCCCTACAATCAGAACTCGAAAGCGCCGAATTCTTTCTCCAAGGTCCTGGGCATCAATGGTTGCCATTGGGAAATCTTAATGTGCGTCCGGAAGTAGGAGTGCTTTTGTTTATCGGGAAAGCTGTACTGTGTACAGAATGAGGCGAGATATGCCAGCGAGCGAACACGAAGCAAGGGCTGCGGCTTATGCACAACAGTTACACACGGCGTCTATCTCTTATCTATCTCCCTGCACCAGCCCACTGACTATACCCTCGCATAAACACGAAGTTGCAACTGTTCCGCGGAAGAGTCCGACTAACGTTTATAAATCGGCGCATATATAGGCTGTCAAGTATCAAAGAAGACGTAGTACCGGCCAACATACACGTAGAGGGTTGGCGTGGATCTTACTAGATTACGACACAGTCTGCCCCAAATACTGACTCATGAGCAGAATGGACAAACTTCTTGCAGCATCAAGAGTCGCAATGGCATCCGCTTCTGTGCGCCACCGTTTAACTGGGCCCTCTTTTGACTCCCTTGTGCCTACTGTGATGATGAGTGATGTCGTTCAGGCTGGCTCTTTCTTGGTTCAAAGCAAGCTCCTTGGTGTCTTTCGCTTTCGATGGTATTGAGATCATATAGCATGTTGAATGGTCGTGGTGTAAGTGATGAAGTACATGACCCAGTGCTTGGAACGTACAACGTAATATGCTTTGGTAAGAATACAGTGAGTTTGAAAACTTGCGGTGCGAGCCTTAATTATGCCATAATGCGTGACTCAGGACTGTGGCGGCCACCGTATGGCTTGAACCATTTTGAAAAACTTCGACAAAATTGTGAGACAATGTTGAATACCGAGTAATCATCTCTGCTGCTCTCTACCGGTGTGGAGATCCTCGTGGTGCTTATGAAGATGGTCATTTGATGAGTCGGACGTCATGAGCGAGTGACTCAAAGGCCCGAGGAATAAGACACCGAATGCGTGAGTATTGGGCTATGTCACCTGGCATTTACTATGTAACCACGGGCACCATCGTATATATGTTCGGGACGTGGCGTTTGCGCTGAGAGTTTGCACAATGAATACAAAATCATCGCCTGCATCCGGAATGATCTTTATAACACCGACATCGACAGGTGACCTTAATATGTAAACACATGCATACACATTATGAGATACTTATACACGTTGAGAATAGGGTACACTTCAAAAATCATAATCGTTCACCCCTGTCATGTATGCAGACCTGCATCGTCTACCACTCTTCGTCTGCTTTCGAATCCACGGCCCCCCCCATCTGTGTCCTCAGGCCCCGAACTTCGTCAGCCTTGATAGAATGATCCTCGATCATCCTAACAATCGTCTCCAGTGCATCACCCTCTCCTCTACGAATGGCAGACACACAATAGGATTGGATTGCTAAGTGGACTTCATTTTTGCACGCCCCCTCATAGGCTTTGGTGGCAATCTTGATGATGTGACGAGAAATAGGCCCTGGCGGTGCTAGCAGGAACAAGATCTGCATGACGCATGTCAAATCCACGATATACGTCATAATCCGCTGTAAAACAATCTTTCTAGATAGATCGGTAACCTTATAAACCACATTTCAGATGGAAACAGTACACATTCACTTACGTATGTTGATAGGTATCGTGAATCCATTCAACCAGGGCCACCCCTGCGACAATCGGTGGAAACGCGCCAGCTAGCAATGTCAAAATCGCTGTAATCGTCGCGAGACCGAATTCACTGTTTCTGTAAATCAAAAATGTCTCGGAGTACAATAACTAACTCACAAAGGTTGTGCTTTGCCCGGAAGGTCGACCATGTCTGGATCTTTTGGCATAAGTTCGTCGGCTTTGTCTAGATCTTTTAGTATCAATCCTTTGAACTGGTCACTGGCCAAGTGCTTCGCAAAGACTTGTCAGCAGCCAGTGACTAAAATTGGATATACATCTTACACAGTGAGGGTCGGTGAAGTTCCAAACATCAATGATGTCCTTGTGAATCACAGACAAGCAGTCCGACATGGTAAAGCCTTTGAAGTTCACGCTCGCAGCGAGACCTCTCCAATATCCTAGAAATTCGGAAGTCAACAAGGTGCCGAAGACTGTGACAAGACTAACTTTTCTTGCCAATGCTGTGGAGAGTAAAAGTGTGAAATTAAGGCGTTACCAAATTAACAGTGGTCGTACAGAATTGATGCCTTAACTTTAAGACCGATGTCTGCCCCTTGGGCTATCATCATTGCTAATGCCGCTTCTGAGGCGACAAATTTTTCAACGCTCGTGGTTGTAAGATTGATCAGTTGTCTTATGGTGCTCTCGTACTCTTCCTCCGCTATGATAGTATGTCAGCATCGGAAAATAGAGAAGTAAAACCCCTTTACTAGAAACCGTCGTATGCAAAATGTCGCTTCCGGCTACTTCCTTAAGTGGCTGGATACACAGTTCATCCAATTTGTCAACTTTACGCGCTTCGAGCGCGGTTTCGTCATGTTCGCCTGACATACGGGCCTCGAGCTCCAAATCGTTGACAAGAGTGTCATACTTGGTGAAGACGACAATTATGGGAACTATATGTATAATATGAGTTATGAGAAACGAAATGAAAACGCTGCGCACTATCGCCTAGTATTTCCTTCCTCAAATTGATGAATTCCTCTATTCCATCCTCAAACAAGGCTGCATTGGCAAGAGGTATCGGGATGCAAAGCCTTCCAGCAATGTCAGTATGGTAGAGTGACGGCGGCAACTAGAAGACTATACCAGACCGCGTGAATTTTATCCTGCAGTGGCATGTTGCGTCGGCGCTTAATGAAGTCTTTTGCAATCGCAAAATTTTCGCTATCGCCAGCTTCAAACCCCCGACTATCGTGGACGACGAATCGTTGATTTTCTGGCGCAGTGAATTCCTTGGTTGATATCCGCTTCACCAGACTCGTACTCAGCAACATGCTGTAAAGGATAGTGAATGTCAGTAACTGTCCCGACATGGAACTAATTCATGGACTCAACTACTTCGTTTACTTTGAATGCCTGCCGGATCAATGTTGACTTTCCGACTCCAGCCTACGAAGTAGATGGGTGAGTCGTTTATGCTTGAAGATAATAACTGAGACAGACATTGCCTATCACCAGTAGCCGAAATCTCGGGCAATTCTCTAGAATATCGCTGCTGGTCGACTGCAGCTGCCTAATATCAACAATCATGGTCGATATGGACAAGGACATTCAGTTTGCTGCTGAAATAAGTGACCAATATACTGACGGTATCGTAGTAATGACAACTGACATCTTCCGCTGAAACGTGCTATACTCTATCGCATCAAACCATAAATGTAACATGATACAGCTGGAAGCGAATTGATTCACCTCGTTGTCCGCTGGGATCCACTGTTTTGGCCAAGATGTCTTTTCTGTTTAATGAAAAATCGATGGCGGTCTTCGACGGAAACACGCCCATTCTAGTATAGGAACAGTGTACAGATAAGGAAACCTGCTCAGTGGTCACCGCACTGTGTTACAATGTTCTGAACGAGTTTCTACAAATATAAATGGGGCTCACATCGCGGGATCGAACTTTGCACTGAGGTTTTTGCCTGGTTCCGAACTGTGGTGGATTTTCTGTCGCTGTGAATCAAGCTTCAACTCGGCAAAATCGACCTTCTTCTTTGAAGTATCATCAAGGCGGATGTCAATACCTAAGAAGAAAAATGTTCAAGGGTGAAATAGACGGCAAGTAGGAAATTCTTACTAGAGATGCAGAGAGGAACAGAGGAGGCGGCTATAGAAGGGACATTTTTCGACATTGTCCTCCGAATCAATGGGAGTCAATGGAAGAAAGGGTAAGGAGGATGATGGGAGCAAACCGAGTAATACCTGTAGGACGCGAACGTCATACCAGCGTACATTTGCACAGCTGGCCTGGCCGCTGGGTGCATGCTTGAGAAGCTTGCAGAATTCCTGAAAGACCCAGTGGAATAATTTATGTAATTTACCGTTTGTTCGGGACTTGACACAGCACGTGTGTTACATGGACACACATCCCATGGTTCTGAGATCCGAACGTTTAGGCGTTTACTCCTTCGGAGTTCATGGTACCCCGTTATCGATTGGATCTTGCTCGGTTCCTGCACACACGAAGTCCCGTCTTCTGGCCGCCAAGCAGAAGACTCGTAATTTTGTCAGGAAGAAGTTTGATGCTTACCGTGAGCTGATGGAGCAACGCGATTGGTGGAACCATAGTAAAATGTAAATCTAGCGATAATGCGGTAGCATCGTGATTGTTGATACTGAGACAAAAATAAGGAAAAGTACATACATGTAGTAGGTTCAGACTGAAGCGAACATATCGACTCATTGTAGAGTCCGGGGTCTTTTCGTTACGGGACTTTGTCTGTGCAGGCCCCTGCAGGGTTCATCGGAAAGGTTTGATAGAACTTTGGATCTCCTATATAGTATAGGCGCTGGGATTCAGATAAGGCAGCAAACCGGCCAGTTGACACAGATTGATGTGATCCGAGAATACTGATGGAGAAACTCGAAAGAGCGACCTCTGCCGTGGAACATGATTAGAATTTAGAACAGACGCTCACATGTACACAAAGTTTAGTTTGGCCTCATCGCAATATTACCATTCTGAAGTACTTTGGCTCCCAAATGTTGGGAATAGCAAGACGCCGTACATGCAGAGGCCTCGTGTATCGAATGTCACAAGTTGACGCTCGAGAGATAAGACTAGTCTATTCTCTGCGGTCTACCCAAGTTGTTAGTACGCCCGCCAGTGAAATACAAATAGTGAATAGGATGCACACCGTGATACACCCCAAATTGACATGCGCTTAGCACTTTTCTGCGTCTTCCTCTACCTCGTTGAAGTGATCCAAGCTTCACCTACAACAAATACAACAAACACTACTGCTAACGATAGTTTGAAAAGCCCATCATTCACAACAAGAAGTATATGGACCATCACCTCCAGCTCTGTTCTCACGCTTTTTGCATGCATTTACACTGCCATCCACCCCAATATCCGAGTCCTAAGCACAAAGGCTACCCTTATATCCTATGGCGACAACTTGGCACGATGATGATGGCGCTAATCGCTCCTGAACTGATAGTCACATGGGCCATGCGCCAGTGGCTCAGCGCTCATGAAGTTACAATGCAGTTCAAGATATCGGGGTATCCCAACATTTCGTCCGGAGTCCGAAGGTGAGTTATACTTTTGGAAACTCTACAATCTCACAACTCACTATATACGTCCTTAGAAAGCGTGTCTGCTGAAATACCTGAAACTGGAAATCCCTTCGTTCACTTTTTTCTCCTCTGGCAGGAGGCTACAGGTCGCCTCTTTCGCCTGTTTATTGAAGGCGTATTATCTGTGCTGGTGTCCTCTTTGGCATACCCTTTGTGCTCCTGTGAGGTGGACTGCAAGGTGGATTAAGTCAGAGAATTCGAGCCTGACCCAGAAGGTAAGCCCGATTCGTGCTCACCTAAACCTTGGCTCATGTGCATCTTTAGGATTACGTGGACTCAGACGCACAGCTTCTTTGTGTTGATGGGTGGTTTCATGCTGTACGTGGATGGAGAACCCTATTGTACACTACAACCTGAGCACATGCGCGAATTGATACGTCAAGGGTGTATCGACGTCCCTACCTAACGGCAGACCAGATCGATGACAGGAGCAAAGGCGATGCGATATCGAAAGGGTTGGTTATGCTTCAGGTGGCCTGGTTTATTATACAGCTCATCACCCGCGCCATCTATCACCCCGAAATCACCCAGCTCGAAGTGGGGACACTCGCTTTCGCGGTTCTTAATTTCCTAACTTATGCTGTGTGGTGGCACAAGCCTCTCAATGTGCAATGTCCCCATCCAGTGTACTGGAAGTTGACCGAGCCAGAGTTAAAGGAATATATCGAGTACGTACGCACCTCAACAATCACACCGCTGTTGATGATGTCTGCTTAGTGTCTACTTGAGTGTCACAGGCGAATCCGCTCCGCTTCAGTTCTTGCCTCGGGTCTTCAACCCAATTATAGAACTGATAGGTTGGGCTGGCATTCCCGTATCTCGAAGGCTCCAAGTTCAAACATTTGATGGCAGCATCAAACTCAAAGTTTCGGACAAGATGGTGCTTCAGCAAGCCGCATTGTATATGGCAACCATATTTGGCGGCATCCATTGTATGGCTTGGTTTTTCGCGTTTACCACACATCAGGAACAGGTGCTATGGCGCATGAGTGCGGTCGCTATAACTTGCACGCCGTGGCTTGGTTTGAATGCTTACTTAGTTCGGGAAATAATCAATTCAGTGCAGCGCGTACCAAATTCAGCAATGCACGTCATCTGGGGTGTGGTTTGTTCCGCATTTGCGATGTTGTACATCATAGCTCGTGCCGTCCTCTTGGTACTTATGTTCACCACATTACGCGATCTTCATCCTGACGCATACAAGACGGTGTTGTGGACTAGTTTGGTGCCCCACTTGTAGTTCTTGATCATGGTGCTCGAGATATACTTCATACTTTTGTAATGATGCTCAGATGTTGTGGTTGACGCGGACGATAGAGCTACTTGCATGAATTGTTTCGCAAATCGCCAATGACGCGATCACATGACCTATACTACACGACGTGAATCGAACTAACCACAGAGCTTGTTTGAACTTGCTCACTAACGATTCACGAACCTAACATGGACGGCAGTGAAATAGAGCAGTTCAGTATACTGTGGCTGATGAAACGGGAAGGTAGTAATATTCCCAATCGGTGAGGAGACAGTCACCTTTAGACTCGATCCGACATGCAGCGTCCGTTTCTATTATCCAGATATCAATGCCCAGCACGCGGAAATTGTGTTTCCTGAAAGAAAGGTCTGTGACTTATTTGCCATATAATACCTATATGGACTGACACGTTTAGATATGAACTTTTTGCGCTTTCAATCCTTGTTGTCTCTTAGGGAAGCACACCTCACCATCGACAGCTGCGGAGGGAGTGAGAGAGGAGAATGTAGATGCCAGATGCCAGATTCTGGAGGAAGCGAGTCGGTGACAAGGAGAAGTTCGGCGAGTACATGTTTTGTACGTGAGTCGGAAATGTAGAATGATTTGATTTGAACCTTTTACGAGTCAATGCAGGGTGCATGTAAGTGAGATCACGGACAGCTTAAGCCACCACCTCAAACGTCGTCTACGAGTGCCATGAATCAGCACCCACTACACCCGACCCTTCTCCCGCATAGTTCAGACGGTTATCTGTCGCACCCTCTACACCCTCTGCCCCTTTGGGAGCGAGTGACGGGACCACGCACAGGAAGGCTCTCTCCCTGCTGAACTCTGTCGTCCACATTGTTAGCGAGCAGTGCTTTACGAAGAAGTTCTTCTCTGCCAAACCATTTGAATCGCCTTTGAAGGTTCCGCTGACGCTACTTCGCGAGGATAAAGAAGAACACAGGGAGTTTGTAGATCCAGATGAGGTGGTCTGAGAAGGATGAGTGTAAACGCGAGGACGAGGATCATGCTAGTGAGCATGCTGAAGGGAACGACCTTGCGTCCCCGCCTCGAGAACCATTTTTTACACTCTGAACCTGAACTCGAAACAACTGACCCATTAGTGCCTTTAGTACCCTTGCCCATCCCACTGCTCCATATGCTCTTCCTACGCGACTCACACGACCGAAGTTCGTCTCCGATATTTATCCCCCAAATGCCAGCAAAGCTCGTGACCAAGTAGCCACAAACCGGCGTATTCAGGCTTACACTTTCTTGTCATACTCTCGCCCACTTCCACCTGTTTCCATCATGTATTAGCTCGGTTGTTAAAACGGATCGACTCAGTTCCGCAGCTGTCGACTTCTATCGTTCCGGCGCTTTGTATTGTAAGCTCAAAACAAACAATTTTATCTTTGCAGTATGTTAAAAGTAGCAAGCTTGCAAGTGAAGGACCAGCATCTATCATTACGACCAACCATCCACAACATGAATTCAGCGTCGAAGCGTTGATCTATTCCCTACCATTTGAAGTTGATCGGTGAAACTTTGCAGCTCGCTTGCCGCGTACGTCGAGACTTCTAAACCTCTGAATCTCAACATCGTCACCTACAATGACCAATGCCGCGAGTTCGTTGCCCTCAACAACCCTAACCATTTCCTAATATTCAGGCAAGGGCATCCTGGTGCTGGAAGACGAAGGAATAGTTTTTATCTGCAGTATGATGTCAAGTTCGATGGAACAATTCTATCACCATGTAATCTAGGAGGCAAACTATTATCATGGAAGTCGTTTGGCGCCAGGACCGGGACATCTATTCACCAAAGGAAGCATGGATGACTGTGAAAATGGTCAGTTGTTATTCTGTGCACGGAGCCTGCAAGAGTATTGATAACAAAAATAAGCAATCCAGGTCTGCGGAGACAGAAGATTGTGACCAGTGATCAGCTGGAATTCTGTGCACTGGAAGGTAAATTCGATTCTGCTATTGGACAGGCGTTGTAAGGGTCCGACAGGGTCAAGTGCTTATCGACGGGGAACACAATTAGAATAAACGCTCATATGCACGTGTTTGGTTTGGCGTCATCAAAGCCGCTCAAAGTTTGGAGGCGCCAGTCCCGTTCTAAAGTACTTTACATAACTTGGGAATGTGTATTGGAGCCGTCAAGACTTCTAGCACCACTTGGCAAGTTCTCAGCTCATGCATTATCTGAAGGGTGAAGCACATTGCCGTAGCACTTCTACTAGCGCCCATGCCGAATGCATATCGGGACTCAGATCTACTTCTTGAGTCATCCCCAGATTGGGTTCTGTGTGGCTGCAGTTTTTGTTCCTTTTCTTTCCAAAGTTTTGATTTTGACATTCCGCATAATCATTGTTGCGGTTAGCCCCTGTTACAGGTCTTGACGTATTGGAAATTGAGGCCTGAGGAGCTATGTAAATCAACAAATTTTACTCCGAGTCCTGCCCGTCCGCTTCAGCATTAAAGCATACCGAGCCAGTTCTCGAAGTTTCTTCATTGAAAATAAGAGTGAACAGCGATTATTTGACGAGCGCAAAGCTAAATCTACATAGCACAAAACAGAACGCGATAGAATGAAATACGAAAAACGGGTGTTGAACGTTGAAACTCAACACGATCTGCAGCGCTCAGCAATTGAAACTGGAGTGCCAAGTATAGTACATCATGATATTATGAAGAAGAGCATCAGAAGCAAGGAAACATCACAGTCTGCACCGCTAAGGAGTTGAAACTGGCGTGCTTGGTATCGTACAAAATACGAGCGCATAGTATGCATCGAAAAACAGAACACTTGGCTCGAGCATCATCTACTTCTTTTCGGTCAAGTCCTTTGCTGCAGGCTGTCAGTAAGCTTCGACTTCTAGGTTCACAACCAAGCGAGGGACGTACACAAGCGATTTTCAAGAATGAACTCAAGAATCTTCTTCCCCATTTCCTCCCTGTCATAGCCTTGACGACAAATCTCTTTCGCTCCTTCCTCCACTGCGACAGCCGTCGGAGATTTCAGGTAGTAGTCCACAGCAGACTCGACGCGCTTCCGTGGCTGTACGTCGTTCGGGAGAAAGGCGGAGTACTCGAGGACGATAATAGTAGCTGCTTCCTGTCATCAAGACTATTACTTGGCATGCGGTGAGGAACTAACCAATGCCAGTCTGGATTATTTGATTCGCGAACATGAAAGCTTTCGGAGCCTGTTGCACTCTTACAATGCTGAGAATCAATATGGAGGAAAAACGACCTACCAAAGGTTGAAGGGTGCGGATGATGTCATTTCGCCCGACTTCGGTCTAGCCAAAGGTTGAAAGTATGGGTATCAGAAACAACTCCACATAGTAAAAGTACCTGCCTCCTGCGGGAAAGGAATGTCAGAATCATGAGGTAGCAAATTGATATTTGATTAATAACAGAGACGCACGTTCTATTTGGTCGACGAGACAGTTGTGAATAGTTAACCACCAGATTGTAGACCATGACCGCTGTGCTCAGGTAACTTACAAACTGTCAGGGGTTGGAACTAGATGAGTATCACTATGTAATGGTGAATACCATCCATGGACGTACGAGCTAAATAAGATTGTTTGTCAGTGGAGTACTATCATGTCAAACAGGACACGATTAACACACATTCTGCGAACACATGATGAATACAATGTATTATGTGGCTGGAAGAACCCTTGACGATTGAAAAATACTCACATCCTATGGTGAAAGAATCAAAACGATCGATACACTCGATGCTTCGCGTTATAAGGATCAAATGACTCACATTCTGCACAGGGCAAGAAACATGCAAGATGAATGAACATGGAAAATATCATCAAGGATGGACACTCAACGAACTATGCATGATGAGTGATGATGAGTCGATTCATCTGATAGAATAGAAAATGCTTACATTAGGCTATGAAAATGAGTGAACATTATTATACTGTTCAGTATCATTTCAATAGAAGATATCAGCGAGACACATACCACCTGTCAACAGGCGAGTAGCAGCGAGAGATGGGGATCATGAGCATGGGTTAAGGATGTGAAACCATTAAGGCACTTACGTTCTGTCAACAGGAGAGCAGCAGCGAAGGATGGGGATCATGAGCATGGGTCGAGGACTAGAAACCATCAAGGCACTTACTTCCTGTCAACAGGCGAGCAGCAGCGAGGGATGGGGATCATGAGCATGTGTCGAGGACTAGAAACCATCAAGGCACTTACTCCCTGTCAACAGGCGAGCAGCAGCGAGGGATGGGGATCATGAGCATGGGTCGAGGACTAGAAACCATCAAGGCACTTACGAGCTGTCAACAGGCGAGCAGCAGCGAGGGATGGGGATCATGAGCATGGGTCGAGGACTAGAAACCATCAAGGCACTTACCCACTGTCCACAGGCGAGCAGCAGCGAAGGATGGGGATCATAAGCATGGGTTGAGGACTAGAAACCATCAAGGCACTTACGAACTGTCAAACAGGCGAGCAGCCGCGAGGGATGGGGGTCATGAGCATAGGTAGAGGACTGGAAACCATCAAGGCACTTACTTCCTGTCAACAGGCGAGCAGCAGCGAGGGATGGGGATCATGAGCATGGGTCGAGGACTAGAAACCATCAAGGCACTTACATACTGTCAACAGGCGAGCAGCAGCGAGGGATGGGGATCATGAGCATGGGTCGAGGACTAGAAACCATCAAGGCACTTACCCACTGTCAACAGGCGAGTAGCAACAAGGAATCAGCGCTGTCCATCCTGTTCGAGGTTCGTAAACCACAATCTTACCAGCTGTTATCAACGGACGTCTACAAAGGAAAATATATCAGAATGTGTATAATTCCAGCATTTCAATATTTACCATCCGTGAGCATCATTACCAGCAAATTGTCACATTGAATCAATTTTTTTCTTACTTTGAGATGTGGAAACCACTTAGCAATGTCGTATTGATAGACTCCATAATCGAATCGAAGTAGCCCGAATAGCTGATGCGCACGATCCAGGAGTATTCTAGATGACGTTGGAACAAAAATATGTGACTTGCAAATCTGCGACTCACATGATAGCACACTTGATACAAAGCTCCATGTTCGATTCTTGCGTTGATACCAAGCACAACCGCAGTTCTTCATCATCCAATGCAAGAGTGGTGCTTTCCAGTAGAGCGTCGCAGTTTGTATTATGTTTGTTCATATCTAGGATGGTTGCTAATGTTAACTTTGACATGGGAGAAGTTGATCTGAAACACTTACTCTGCAAGCGTACATAGGACTTGGGGCGGGCACGGTTCTCAGGGTTGCACAGCCGATCGTAGACACCTGTCTTGGTGAACAGTTCCTCGACGCGTTCGGAAATCCTCTTTGAGCGTTCTTCACTCGATACCCCTTTTAATTCGTTCTTGATTTCTCCATAAGCGAATGGACGCAGAGCTTCAAACTTCGTAAATATCGTTACCACGGGAACTGGAGATTAATTGTTTAGTACAAGCCCGACAAGTGACAATGAAGTTGCAAGCTCACCGCGCCCAGTATCGCACTCCAAGAAGAACTTCTCTTCTGACCGCTGGAAGGTTCGACACGGGTCGTCCATTGGAATACAATACCTGATGGCAATCAACAAGCGCAGAACGTCAGAAGGGTGTTACTTACCATATGGCATGGATTCGTTCCTGCAATTCTGTCGCATGTGCGCGTTCTGAGATGAATTTCTTCATATTCTCAAATTCGTCTTCAGAGCCCGCTTCGAAACCGCAGGAGTCGTGAAATACAAAAATGGGATTGCTCTTGAATATCATCTCGTTCGTGATGTTGTGATCTCCACGCTGAGCATTCGTCAGTGCATGTATGTGCCCATAGGGCAAATGATGCACCCACCTTGATAGATGATTTGACGATGTCAGCATCGATCTACCCGCAATTGGTTAGCGATGGATGCGTGTATGGCATAGATCATCACCCGCACCTTGTTTCCTTTGGCATCGTAAATTTCTGGTTGATCCGTGGTGTTGCAGACCTTCTGAAGAATGGTCGTTTTGCCTGCGTTTGCTCTCCCCATGATCAGAACTCGAAAGCGCCCAATTCTTTGTTTGAGGTCCTCGGCGTCGATGGTTGCCATTGAAAGATCTTGATGTGTCCTGAAGTGGAGGTGATTCGGTTTATCGTGAAAGCTGTACTGTGGTACAGAACGAGGTCGTTGCGAGATAAGACAGCGAACGAACACGAAGCAAGGGCTGCTGTGGCTTATCACACAACAACTACACACGGCGTCTATCTCTTATCTATCTCCCTGCAAGGGACCACTGATTATTCGCATAAGACACGAAGTTGCAAATGTTCAATCGTTCATACGACTAAGCACAAGGATTACACAATAAACGATGTCGAACAACGAAAACCTTGATAGAAATATGAACTGTATTGAATAATCAGAACACGATGGAAATGACGCAATTTTTCTCTTCCCTACCTGTCTAGCTGAGAAGTAACGATACCGGATATCTCTGTAGATGGAGGTGAAATCGATGTTCCCAGGTCTTCTGAATGATTAATCCTTGAAACGTCTGAGAGCAAACAAGAGCATGTCGGGATGTAAGACACCCTCTGGAATGAGTGATATCCCGTGACGATCGACAGGATCTGTACGTCTAGAGTTCTCCCCCGGAAGATGGTGGTCCTGTGTATGGACTAAAGAGCAACGGATCAATAGGTGCTGCGTGTTGGCTGAACTGGAACGTTGACCACGCTCGTTGGTACTGAGGTGAATGACGATGTAGCGGGCTGCCGGAGCTTGTGTATCCATAGATAGCTCGGGACAGGTTTGGTACATGTCCGCGGAAGAGTCCGACTGTCCGTCATACTTTATGAATTGGCGCATATACTATCAAGTATCAAAGACGTACCCGCCAACATACACGTAGATTTGGAGGGCTGGTGTACGCCTTACTGAATTATGACAAAATCCGCCTGAAGAATCCTTGAATACTCACGCATGAGCACAATGGATGTAAGTGATAAAGTACATGACCTTTCCCCTGGAACATACAAATTAGCATGCTTTGGCAATGAATATGAGGACTCGCGATGCAAGTCAAGACTCACTAGCGTGAAAGATATGCGTGACTGTATGCCTTGGATCCAGCTATTTCGGATAATGTCGACAGATTTGTGGGACATAGCGTTAAATATTGGGTGATCATCTCTGCTGCTCCCTACCGGTGTCGATATTCAAATGGTAGCCATCCAAGGACATGGTCAATAAAGCGGGTGAGGCGACTGTTGTATCCATAGGACATGATAGCCTTCTGCGAGTAGTAGACAGTGACTTCCGACTGTAGGTCATCTGAAAAGAAAGAAATTGTAGGTGCTAAGTTGAAATGGACAGAAGCACCGCACTTTAACTAGTGTGCCTGGATGCTCATTAAGATGGTCATTTGCTAGATATCGATGAGTTAGACACCTGCTGCTGAGTCACTTCGCATTCAGCATAACTTACACGGGCACCATCCAAGACGTGGTGTTTGCGCTTCGAAGTCGAGACTTTTAACAAAATCATCGCCCGCATGATATTCAATAGAGTACAACTCGAACTGTAGACGTTTGTTTGTTGTTATGTAATTCTAAATTTAAATGCCTTGCACAAACCTTCCTTGCAACTTGAAACCCTCACAAGAAAGAACAACCGCATAACAATTGCTACTACATCTCAACGCGTATTTCAAATTATTTGTTCCACTCGGACTTTACGAAGCTCGGAAAAACATGATACAAACTGGTCTCATCCAGAGCGCGCACAATGATCTTCTGACAGACGTAGCTTATGATTTTTATGGGCTTCGCTTGGCTACTTGCAGTCTCGATCAGAGGTATGTTATTCCCTTAATGCGTATACGTGTTTCTACAAGTTTGCTTACGCTGCTGTTAAAGAATCAAAGTCTGGCAAGTAGACGAGAGTAATGGAAATTGGAATGTCGAAGATGACTGGAAGGCGAGCATGTTGGAAGACGCGTTTTTGCGCTTATCAACCAATTAATGCCAGGCTCACGATGCTACCGTCTCCAAACTAAGCTGGGCTCACCCAGAATTTGGGACCATACTCGCATCCGCCTCTTTCGATCGTACAGTCAAGATTTGGGAGCAAACTAGCTTTGCATCAACAACAGATTCCCAAACGAATGGTGCTGGTGCCGGGTCTCCTCAGGCTGCTTCATGTGGTTCCTCAAGATGGGTGGAAAGGGCTGTATTGGTTGATGCAAGAGGCACTGTCCGCGCGGTCGAATTTGCCCCTCATCATTTTGGGTTGAAGTTGGTACGTCAGGCGTTCGTCTCATTTAGAGATTTATGAGAGCTTCTGCAAGGCAACCGTCTCTTCCGATAATCACGTTCGCATCTACGAGTGCTTGGAACAATCATCGCTAGCCACATGGCAGCTTTCAGAAGAAGTCGATGTCTCCACGCTCCCATCTGCATCACTGTCCTCATCGTACTCCGTGGCGTTTGCGACGCCAACGCAAACAAGCGCAACTCTTGAGGGTGCTTCTGCAACCCTGGTGGCTCAAGCCCTGCAACAATCGCAAAACCCCGCCACTCAGGGACGACCCGGAATGGGGAATCGAGAGGCTGATGGAGGGTGGTGCATATCATGGTGTAAAGACAGATATTGGGGGGAGATCATCGCGGCTGGCTGTGGGGTATCCGGCGCTATCAAAGTATTATCACGCTTCATTTTTGTGGCCTTGCTCACTCTGAGTCACAGATTATACAATTATCTCCCTCTCGTCGACCTATCACTCTCCTTACTTTGGACCCATCTCCTTCGCCAGTGGGTTTGCCCACTGAGGCAGGAACCTTGCTTGCAAGCGACGGAGATACTCCAACACCATTTGCGATCACGTCGGTGGCGTGGGCGCCTTCGTGTGGGCGATCGTATCACCTTATAGCTACTGGAGGTCGTGATGGACATGTTAGGATATGGCGAGTTAAGCCTGCGGAGGAAGAACCTGACGTCGAAGGAGAAGGGGGCGATCCTAAATGGTCTGCAAATGTAGTAGCAGATTTCGATCACCACAAGTACGTGCGGTACGCACTCCCCTATGGCTTTGTTACTGATTGGATGCGTGCAGATCGGCGGTTGGCCGTGTTGAGTGGAACATCACTGGGTTTGTTTTTGTCTCCAGGTATCGTAAGCTACATAGTTGACACGCATTCTCTCAGGACGGTCCTGTCTTCTGCCGGGAATGATGGTCGTGTACGACTGTGGAAAGCGACTATTGGTAATGTTTGGAGGACTGCTGGGAGCATTGGGGTTGAGCAGTCGGAAGATATCCAAGATGCTGATGTCAATATGGGCGAAAATGCAATTGCCAAATAGATCATTTGTATATAGTGCTCAGGCTGTCGATGTTCTTCGGCTACTTTCACATATCACGATGTCCTTTCGTGATATCCTTTCCCGTGAGCGAACCAGGTGACCTTCACACGGCAAGCCGCGCGGACCGAATTGAAGCCTTGATACACGCTCTTGAACTTCTATGCTTTCGTGGGCCGGACATTTCTCTTGCGACCACTTCCCTAGAGGCTTGAGTAACAATCACGAAGACCAGCGATAGGCTAAAATGTCTTCATCAGGGTCAAGCGTTACTCCCTCTGTGCCTACCCAGCGACTGATGTCTGTCGCATCTCACCTAAACAGTCCACGATTCAAAGTTGTCGTATGTCGCAACCTCGGACCCGATGTCATGTCCATTCTTGAGGCAAGACCAGGGCTAGATGTGAGTTAATATCCGATTGGTATGGAAAGGTGAGGCTTACTACAGTTGTAGTTGGTTGTCTGGCCGCAGGATAGTGCCTGTGAACGGCCATGGTTGATGGAGAATATATCTGGTGCAACCGGGGTGATTGTCATGCTCACGGACAAAGTACGGTTATTGTTTGATGTTTGATAATACACCCGCTGATGCATGAATTGCTTAGGTTAATGCAGAGCTTCTAGACAAGGGTACGTATGGAACACATACCTCTAGCTAAGTTAAGACCGACATGTGTCTGCTAGCTGGACCTTCTTTGAAGGTGGTATCCACCATGTCCGTTGGATATGGTACGTGCATTTGCTATTCTAAGTACTTGATTTAACCTCAACCTGCAGACCACATTGACCTCAAGGAAGCAGCACAACGTGGTCTGAAAGTGGGATATACTCCTGACGTCCTGACAGACGCAGGTAGGACAGGGCACCGAACAAACGGTCCAGACCGCTTATCTTCGTGACATATAGTTGCTGATCTGTCGGTCATGCTCGCTCTCATGGCTGGCCGAAATGGAGGCACTGGTGTGGACCTTGTGCAAAGGGGCCAGGTCAGTGATTTGTATTCTCGGCGAGATCTCTTGTGCTGAAAGATCAATGTCAGTGGGCAACTTTCTCGTGGGCTCCTTTTGGCTTATGCGGGCCACAACTCAGTACTACGGCCGCGTCCCCCACAAGGAAAATCGGGTTTCTGGGTTTCGGACGAATCGCACAAGCGACGCTAGCGCGCCTGGTACCGTTCGGTATCACACATTGCTTGTATTTCTCAAACCCATCCTCACTTCCAAACCACGCTCGGGATGCTGCACTCGCAAAACAACACAAGCTTCAAGGAGTTTCAAAGGTAGACCTTGATGAACTTTCGCGGGAAAGCGACGTTCTCTTTATACTTGCTCCTGGAGGGGGTGAAACGTATCACATCGTGAATGAGACACTGCTTAGGAAGATGAAAAGGACTAGTATCCTCGTGAACGCGAGTCGCGGAACGTTAGTTGATTCAGATGCTCTGGCGAAGGCTTTGAGGGAAGGATGGATCTGGGGAGCAGGATTGGATGTCGTTGAAGGGGAACCTAATGTCACCATTGATCATCCTCTTGTCAAAGAGCCGAGGTCAGTGCCAGCTTTACCTGGTTCTATTCTCTCGGCTGTACTAATAATTGCTATGCAGATGTGTGATAGTGCCTCATATTGCAAGCGCTACACTGGAAACTCGACTAGAAATGGCAACTCGTGCGGCACAGAATTTGATTGGGGCGATTCTGGGACGGGAGATGCCTTCTGAGGTCAATCTGTCGGATATATCGTAACAGTACTTCAATTGCAAGCTGGTCGAATCAACATCCTGCTCTTACACTGCCCATAGATGACTCAGGCGAACGATAATCTACCAACAGTTTATCACATCCGGGTCTGAGACGCAGC